AGCCAACAGGATAGCAGTCATACAAGAGCAGTCAAGAACTGACCAGTGGAGACATGTCGGCACATAGCTGAACCCAGCAGATGATGCAACTAGGGGATTACCTGTCCTGGACCTGGTTGCAGGATCTCGGTGGATACGAGGTCCTGACTTTCTACTCAGTGTTGAAGAACGGTGGCCAAAGAGAAAGGAACTGCCAGCAGTTCTGAACGACTTACTGGAAGTGAAACGAGAAGTACACCAGAGATCTGTAGTTGCTCTGGCAGTGAGCGAGCAGTCAAAGTGGTCCCTCGCCAAACTGTGGCTCAGGTACTCATCACGGTACCGCTTGGTGAAAGGGGTGGCATGCATTAAAAGGTTCATTTGGTGGCTTGGGTCCAGTACAAGGACCGCAGACCTGCGCCTCAAACTGAAGAGGCTAAGCACTGAGGAACTACAGTCGGCTGAGCAGACAATTATAGAATTGGTGCAGATAGAGGCTTATGAGAAAGAAATCCAAACTGTCATAAAGGGTGAGCTGCCGAAGGACAATAAGCTATATAAACTGGAACCTTACTTGGACGAGCGAACGTTGCTCAGATCAAAGGGAAGAATAAAAGGAACCCTTCTTGGGCGAAGTGGTGAGGAGCCAATCTTGCTGCCTAGAGACCACCACTTCACCGAAATCATAGTGCAGGAGATGCACGAAGAGAGAGCCGGACATACCGGACGAGAACACACGATGGCGTGTGTGAGGCAAAGGTATTGGATTCCCCAGGGCAGACGCTTGCTTGATAGAATCATACGACGCTGTGTAGTGTGCCGACGGAACAACTGGAGAAGTTGGCATCAAAGGCAAGCTGACTTACCAATAGATTGTGTCACTCCTGGAAAGGCACCATTTGCTTACACTGGAACGGACTGTTTTGGTCCATTCATTATCAAGGTAGGGAGGAAACAGGTCAAGCGCTGGGGATGTCTGTTTACATGTCTAACTATTAGGGCTGTTCATCTAGAAGTCTTGGCCTCATTAGACGCAGATGCCTTCCTCAACGCAATAACAAGGTTCTCACGACGCAGAGGTACACCAGAGCGTATTAGGTCGGATAATGGGACAAACATGGTACGGGCAGCCAAAGAGCTCAAACTGGCTATGAAAAGTTGGGAGCAAGATGACAGACTCAGAGGTGCCTTACTGAAAGCAGATATTGACTGGGTCTTCAATCCACCAGCTGCCCCATACATGGGGGGAGTATGGGAAAGGCAGATTCGCACAGTAAAGAAGGTTCTGCAGGCGATTGTGGGCTCACAAGTTTTAGACGATGAACGTCTGCAAACACTTCTGTGAAGTGGAAGCCATAGTTAACGAGAGGCCAATCACCCCGGTTCCAAACACTCCAAATGATCTAAAGGCTTTCACTCCTGCTGATCTTTTGCACTTAAGTCAAAAGGGTAATCTTCCCTTAGGTGGAAGGTCAATAGGCGAATCATGCCACAGAAGGTGGAAGCATGTCCAGTACCTTGCAGATCAATTTTGGAAGCGCTGGCTGACGGAGTACCTCCCTCAACTCAGAACTCGACAAGTGCATTTCAGACCACGGCGCAACTTTCGCCCTGGTGACCTAATCATTATAGCAGAAGCAAATAGTCCACGCAACAAATGGCACCTTGGTCGAGTGAAGGAAGTCAAGGCTGGCGAGGATGGACTTGTCCGACAGGCAGTGGTTAAGATGACGACGTCCACAATGTTACGACCTGTGACAAAATTATGCTTGTTGGAGGGAGCAATGGAAAGGGCTGACGGAGTCGGCCAGGAGAATGAATTGGGTATCCACACATGAAGATGGTGATGTCCGAACGTCAAAGGACCGAGATGTCCTAAGGAACTGATAAGTACCACAAGCCTGAGGGCAGCATAGTCACGAGAACATGACAAAATTAAAGTTAAATATCACCAGCCTGAGGGCAGCTTAGTCACGAGAACGTGACAAAATTAAAGTTAAATACCACCAGCCTGAGGGCAGCTTAGTCACGAGAACGTGACAAAGTTAAATACCACCAGCCCGAGGGCAGCATAGTCACGAGAACGTGACAAAATTAAAGTTAAATACCACCAGCCTGAGGGCAGCTTAGTCACGAGAACGTGACAAAATTAAAGTTAAATACCACCAGCCTGAGGGCAGCTTAGTCACGAGAACGTGACAAAGTTAAATACTACCAGCCTGAGGGCAGCATAGTCGCATGAACGTGACAAACTTAAGTATCAAAGGCCTGATCTGGTTTTGAGCGTGAACGCTCAACGGAGTGGGTGTTACCGTAAGCGGTACATAATTATGATGACATAAACAAATGTTATGTTAGGCTGTAACTCACAATGTAGAGTGTTGAGATGGTTGAAGATGAGAGGCCCAGAAGGAGGTTGGAGGGTGTGAAGGAAGTTTGTTTATGTATAATTATAATCACCTGACTCAGCCATAGCTGACCAGCCAAGGGGCCAGGCTATATGGTGGGCATTTCAGTATAGCTACCCATATCTTAGAGTCTTTTACTTTTTACTTTTATCCTCTTCGCCACTGATCGGCTTGTTAGCCGCTTGGGCGATCGGTCACTTCTCTTTTCATTTATATTCTTCACCAAAAGATCGGCTCACTAGCCGCCCGGGCGATCGGTCACGTCTCTGTCACGCACTGTTGGCAAATACTGGGTGGGCATGCACCAGCTCCTGAATGTACCTGAACCCGCTCCAGTGTTAGTCAAGTCTTCTCTTGAAAGAGCTCACACTCGGTGCCGTCACAACACTCTCTGGTAGATTGTTCCAAGAGTTTAAAACCCTCACTCCGAAAAAGTTTGCCCTCACAGTTTTCTGGACTTGCGGCTTCTTCAATCTTTAGCTGTGACCCCTTGTGGGGCGAGCGTCCCCCAGCTCCAAGTAAGGACACTCAACTGAGTAGTGCCCCCTGAGATGCTTATACATCTCAACTAGGTCCCCCCTTGCCCGTCTGTAGTATAAGCTAGGCAAGTTCAGGCGCTCCAATCTCTCAGGGTAGCTGAGGTGCCGAAGTGCAGGCACCAGTCTGGTGGCCCTCCTTTGAACATTTTCAACCAACTGACAGTCCCTAGCATATCTCGGGGACCAGATGGGGTGACAGTACTCCAGATGGGGAAGCACTTCACTCCTGAAGATCGTCACGAGGACGGACCGTCTAGATATCTGAACGACCTTCTTATAAGACCCAATAATTTATTTGCCTGATTTACCTTCTTCTCACAATGGCCCGAGAACTTCAGCTCATTGTCAACATACACACCTAGATCCTTCTCACACACAGTCTCAACTAGTGCATTTTCTTCATCCCGTTGGGACATATGATACGCCTCCTTACCGTTGGTACGCCCCAGGTGCATCCTCTTACACTTCGTGACATTGAATCTCAGCAGCCATTTCTTCGACCATTCCTGGAGCCCACAGAGGTCCTTCTGCAGCTCTTCACAGTCTGCTTGGTTCTTAATTTCCCGAAATAACTTGCCATCATCGGCAAAAATTTGTATGGAGGAGTGTACAACGTCAGGCATGTCATTTATGAAACAAACAAACAACAGCGGGCTTCTCTCTAGACTTTCAACACGTAAGTTTAACTAGTAGGCCTACTTATTGTGTACACAGGTAGACTGTGTCATTGTTTTTGTGTTCAGATTAGACTAATTACATAGCCATATATATTGGATTAAACATTTATGTAAGAGTGCCTATGTATGACTTATTTGAAATACTAAATGAATTGTATTCAACAGGTTTGACCTAATTATAATGTTCGTGTACGACGTGAGAAGTATTATTCACCCTCTAACCGTCTGATTGGCGGTTACAATATATATATATATATATATATATATATATATATATATATAAAGAGAGAGAGATTTGTCCGCTGCAAACGCTAACGCTGATCGAGGTGTTAGCTTTTCCCTCTGAAAGTTGTATGCGGATAAGTCAGCAGTAGCGTCTGCGCAGACAGAATAGCTAACGCGTTAGCTTTTTCCTGCTTCTGAAACGCCTTACAATAAACGCCTTTAAATGTCCTTGTTTCTGACACCGGAAGAATCAAGCCTGTTGCCGGAAATTTTGTTACGTCACCAGCACACCCATCAGCTTTGGTCTATTTACCTGTTAATTCCTTTTTCGGTATTTAAGAAGACCGTCGCTTATTTATTTACTTGTATTCATTCATTGTTTTATTTATAATTTCACCCCTTTTATTAGCTGTACATGATGTGATTATATATTAAATAAACACTTCTTACTAATAAACAAAAATTACGTATTCATGTACAACAAAACTAGTCTCGATCTTTTTAGCGCTTAGTGCAATGAGGAAACTACTTGAAATGGGCGATACTGTAGTGGATCTCCCTACCCTACAATACTTCGTAATCAACTAAATCAAGTGTAAATTGACCAAATTGTAAATTTAATCAACTAATTGTTAGGACTAAGTCTAAATCAACCAAGTAATATTAATCATGTAAATAATAAAAAATAAAAATAAAATAGTGCAAATTGATTAGATATAATGGTGCTGAATCTAACAAGTCACACGATCATCTAATAAATAACATTGTATTGCATAAAACTTTTGTTAGGTCATAAGTACCTTTCGTGATAGGCCCCATAAATGATCGTTGTTAATTGTCTTAATTGCCATTTTTGACAGATAGCATTTACCGTACCATATATAACTTTATTAACCAGCTTTAATCCTCTAACGTTACTCCTGAATCCTTATTTATAGACACTTCACCATTGGGTAAAACAATCCAATGCTCTAGTTTATTACTCACCTTTAAGACCAACAATCTTATAAAATTTGATTTTTCAATAATATATTCTAGTAAAAATTAAGTTCATCTTTTAGATTATTTTCAATGCAATAAATATATTTGAGTAAATAAGGAATTACATTTTAAAAATAATAACTATTAATATTGTGATAAAGAGTGGAGTCGCACTGAAGCCTCGGAAAAACATTGGAACTCGTCGGTGATGGAAACCATGACCCGGTATTGGAGAAAGTGCTATGGATTCCGACAATTTCTTCGAATTTGACGCTTCGATCCCGGTGAGAGTCACCTGAAAGTTCAATCAAGTGTTCTTAAGTAGTTTAGCTAAATATTCTGTAGGACATAACCAGATATTTCTCGACTATTAAGGAGAATTGAAAGGGATAACGAAGCAGTGGGACCGAAAAATCTCAATCTGTATTGGTGTACATTATTGCACCTGCAACTGCATATTTTTTCTTCTAACATTGATATACTAGTTCCTAATGTTGTATGGAGGATTGGAGGACATTATCCTCCCGTGGGTTAAGTGTGTTCAAAAGTAATAAGTGTTAAGAGGCGTGTATGTATAATGCCAGAGGTGCCTGGGGGTGTGATCGAAGGTCAGATTATGACGTTAATGTTGCTAAACAAAGTAACACTATTTTTCCCTGTTACGTCAGTTAAGAGGATTAGTGAATGGATCGGCAGGATGTCCTTTCGAATGACATGTAATGGCATTAGTAAACTGACAGTGGGTGGAGAGGATGACAATAGAACTGAATACATTATTAATCACAAAGCAAAGTGTTCCTCACCATGGTTTTATTTATGAGAATCGTTTTGAAAATATGTAAAATGAATTTACAAAAAGTTATTTATGTGAATTAGTGTATGAGGCAGATATGTATTCAACATATCCAAAATGTCTTGAGTGTTTTTTCACAACCATAATATATAGGCGTTTTAAGATGCACGGAATAGCTAACGCGTTAGCTTTCCCGGACTGCCATTAAAAAATACAACATTTCACTGCGTCTTGGGAATAACTGTCGTACAAGTCTTCAGAAAACAATAAAATTATAAGAACTGTTATTAAGACACAATACGGAAAGAAATAGTGAAGAAAATATATAGAAAATTATGGAAAGAAAGACAAAAAGGGAAAAAAGTCAATCTGTCAATAATAAATAAGAATAACACAAAAAATTGGGCCCGTTGTGAAGGTTGGTGGTCTGAACTCCATGGTGGGAGCTTTAAACCACACTACATACCTCTCGTCTCGCTGCTACATTGTTTACAGCTGTTCGCATACATAAACATGCAATATGACGAATTTCAGGTTCGTTATGTCTTAATTTTTGGTAATAAATTTTTCTCCCTTATCCAAAGTATTTTACGAGTAATATTAAAGTTTTAATCATATTTGAGTAATTATCAATATTTTTACACAAAAGTCACCAACGTCTAATGAAATCGGATAGTACCCACGTAAAAGGGGCGGAGCCTAAACAGGTTTCAACTAGGCACAATCCTTTTCAATTCTTTCATGCCTTAGGCTTTGTTTTAGGTCCTGTCCAATATACTACTGCATAGAGAATTATTTTGATTATTATATCACAGTGTTTTTTATTGCCTTAAATGCCCATAACTCTTCAATATTAATCAAAATAGTCTCCATAAGCGGCCATGATCCGCGTTATTTTCACCGGGAGAAATCGTTGATTGGTTGTTAGCTATTTGTGCCGCTCGGGCCCTGCAAAAGGCTAACGCCTCATGGAGGTGTTCGCTAAAGTGTCATGTGCACAAATCAAAAGCAGTGTCTGCTCATACAGAATAGCTAACGCGTTAGCTATTCCGTGCATCGAAAACGCCTTACAATTCCGCCTTTTGTCTCCTGTTTGCAATTTTCCTGTGTAGAATTACAGTGTACATTATTTCTCATTATAGAAACAAATAATATTTAGAAATAAGATTGAAGATTTCTGTTATTTAAAGGGTAAATTTTATAAGTTGCCCATGATGGTTTTGGACATGAAACTTACGTTTTTCCAATGGTTATAGATGTTTTTTGAACGAGCCCGACATTCTTGTGTATTGTAGACTCGTAACAACATACAAACACACAGGAGCTCTCTGAGGACTTGGGTAACATCAACACTGGACTTGGAAACTATTTGATGACCCAAACAAATTAATTTGATTTTCTCGAAAACTAATCAATTGCAATGGAAACGTTACTAAGAAAAGTTGTTAGAAATGATGAGGTATGCCTAGAACTGGACCAAAAAATATTGTGGGATATTACGGGCAATTTGTAAAAAAATAACATAATTAGTAAACTGGTGGGGACATTAAAACGAATCTTAACCAACGATTTTCTTACACCCTGGGTAATCATACAGGTCCCTGTGGCAGATTTTCCTAGGCTGACTGTACAGACATAGGTTAGATGTCATTGTGGACACTAAAGTTGTCATATTTTCTCACTATGGCTGAGAATTTGTACTCATCATGTTGTCAGTAAATTAGGCCAGGTTGGTGGGTTTATGAAGTCATTCAATTTTCAGCTGTTAAGAGAGAACTTGACAAGATTTGATTAACCCAATGACCCTTATGTATGTACTGTATAGTTAATGTGGAGAAGTTACTGTACAGATCCATACCATTTAATTGCTACTTTTTCTTTTTTAAAAATGGTTAGAATACAAATCTGGTACTAGAACAAGAAAATAATGACTGTAAATTAACAAACTGCAAGGGTCCAATTGCTATGCACCATCAGCAGTTTGAGTAAGACATCCCCAAACTATGTCTAGTTATGGCAGAACAGCTGGGTAATGCCACACTTCAGTATTTAACACACTTGTTAATTCTTGCTAAAGTCAGACACTGATATTTTATTGGTGTCAAAAGTCATGAGTACTTTGCTACTTTTAAGTAATTTCAATACTATTTATTAATTAAATGCCAAGGATTTTTTTATTAAAAAATAGGATTAATTGAAGATTAATCTCTCAGCTTATTTCACTTTAAGATTAATTGTCCTAACACAAACCTAACCTAACCCTTTTTCCCGAGATAGATTTAGAGTTGTTATTCTCGAAGATAAATAAATTTGGGGGCTAATCTTCTGGTTGTCCAAAACATCAGGTTGGGGTGAAATTCACACAGAAAACATCCATAAGTGTGCACAGACACGTGTTGATTACCATGTACAGTACTGTAAGAGTTTAATATTAAAATACTTACATTAATAACACAAAACCCAATAATACAAGATAGGGAGATATAATATTAAGCGTGTGGAACATTATTGGTACTGTACAGTGAGCTCCATGTGAAGTGAATTCATATTAATGTGACCTCACAACAGCCTGAGGATGGAGCCCTGGAAGTAGGGCTAACCGAGGATGAGGAATATGATGCTCTCAACGATGAAACCTTCGGCTCAGCGGCTGTGGACGGGGACTGGGAGGAGTGCCATGAACAGATGGCATCTCTCACAGAAGCCGGACGCAGAAGTAACAAACACCAGGATTTCCACGACGCCTTGAGACAAGAGGTGAGCTACCTTCATTGGCTTATTTAAATTTTTTTTTTTTTTTTTTGCATTATCACTTGGGCATCAGCAAGAAAAATTTGACAAATATTTTTTTATGAATACCTACTGTAGTAATAAAAGTAGCTATTGGTAATCGTCTTGCTTCGTAGGTTGAATCAGATTTCATAACTTTTCAAGTTCAATTAATTAGTTAATTTTGTTTTCTTATGTATTGTTTAGTCCTCTACCCGTGAGTGCTCATTGTGAAATCAACCCAAACAGTTTTTCATAAAAAAATTTGAAACTGCACAAACATTTTAGAAGGATAGGTAATGTGTTTAATATCTTGTTTACAAATCCCTATTTTGTGTTCATTTCTTGTAAATCTTAATCACAGTAATATTTTTCCTGGTTGTTAGAATGAAGCAGGTTTGGTCGGGGAGTTCCAGAACTTGGGCCTTGGGAGATACAACAAGCAGGGTGGCAGCAACTTGGCCCAAAGCAGTGCACCAATCAACATTATTGGATACCAGTCTGTTCCCACCAGTCACTCCCACATAGGGTCATCTTTGCTGGGGGGACCCGATCTGCCAGGCTCTCCGTCCAATAGCATATGGACTCCCTCACCCGGTGTGGACAAACTGCGTCCAGTTATTCAACACTCTCCGTCTAATGGTGTGGGTCACGCTTTAGGGCAGATTCCTGGACTCTCCCAGTCTGGCATCCCTCCAGCTTTGGGTCTTCCAACCATCAAGACTGTAGCTGAACTGGAGGAGGAGATGAAAATTCAACAAGCAAGATCACAGTCATCTCTTAATCTGCAGATAAATGTAAGCAGACCAAATTATAAATAATCAAGTGTATAATGATGGGTTATAGGGTTGTACAATATGAAGCAGGAGGGATAAACTAGATGGCAATATTGGGGCTGTGTTGGTGAAAAGGAACACCATATCAGAACACAGGCTACCAGGAGGATTAACTTGAGAAGTTTTGGCCTAAACACTATTAGAAAAACACATGTAAGAATGGACAAAAATGAAGATTATATATTCACAAATATTTTGAACTGTAAATTTGTTTAATATCTGATGATTGTTCCTGTATGTGTCTGTACCTGTAATTGCAAAATGGTAAGCGCCCCTGAATGTGAAAATGTAGATGAATTAGATCATGACTGGCCAGTATATAATTTTGGAGGGTTAACTGGAAAATTCTGATATACTCACACACCCAGTGCAGTATATTATTTTAATTTATTGTGTACTGTTTCTTTGGAGTCAAGAGTGAATGCTTAAGTTGAAAATGAAAGTGGGTCCCATGGGTACACCTGTTTATTAGGGACAGTGTAACACTGTATATTAAGCCTTTGGTACACAGGAGGCAGCATGGATGGTACTGTACTGCTCTTGACTGCCTTCACTTCACCAAGTTTTAAACTTAGGTACCCATTTACAGCTTGGTGAAATGGGAGCGCCCGAGAATCGAATCATTGACCCCAGAACAAAAGAGGAGCACTGTATCCACTTGAATGCTATGCTCCATGCTAAAATTAGCTGGTGTTAAAATTTGGTTAATTTTTCTCAGCAGGCACTGAGAGCAGAAGACTTGGAAAGAGAATTGGCTCGACATACAGGCACCAACAAGACCCAACAGCAACAGGGGTTGAACAGCCTCTTGCAGCAGTCCACACCCTACAACCTTCAGAGACAGGGGTCCTTCACTGGAGGGATACCAAACAACCATAACCAGTTTAATCGTCGCTTCCAGAGACCCTTTCCTAATCAAGGTAGAATTTCAATTAGATGTGTATGAGTTGACCCTTGTTTGTGTACAGACTAGATTTTGTATATATTTCCACTGTCACCAACTTTTTGCTATAACCTTTATTTTTTTTTCTTTTCTTAATTTTACAGGAAACTTCCAGGGACCTATGCAGCAATATCCACATCAGCAACAGCATCCATATCATCAGCAGCAGCAACAAAGATTCATGAATAGCTTTCCTGGGAATAATAACAAGAGTGGTTTCAACCAACACAATCAACATCTCTTGCAACAACATGGTCACCCACACAACAACCAAAGTCATGATAGTTATAGTAGTAGTTACCACCAACACCAGCACCATCACAGTAACTACCACAACAACCATTACCACCATCAGCAGCAGCAACAACAGCAACAGCAGCAGCAGCAACAACAACAACAACAACAGCAGCAACAACAACAAAACTATCATTATCACAACAACCGTAACCCAGAGGGACGGTACTTTAACCACAATGGATATGATCAAGGTAGAAATGGCAATAACTTCGATCGTCGAAACTATGAAAGAAGGCCTTATGACCAGAATCGTGGCTACGACCAGGGCAAAAGGTAAGTAGTATCATACTACCTGAGAAATCGTGTGACACTAGCTTAGAAATTGTGACACTAGCTTAGAAATCGTGTGACACTAGCTTGGAAATCTTGTGACATTAGTTTAGAAATCAATGGCATCCCTTCAGAAATTCAGTGGCACCTTCTTGGAAATTCTATATGACAAGGTTAGATCTATAGTATAGGTGACATCAGCTATAAAATCCTATGGTGCCTGCTTTTGAAATTTTGTTATATAAAAGTTCATTGAGTTTTTAAACAGTGTTTCTCCTGTCTGTCCACCACATCTGTAATTTACACTGCAACCTGATATCATTAATTACTTCTCATCTTAACGTAATGTACAATCAAAGACAAAAGTCGTGTCGCGGTTTTGTCCGAAGATTAAATATAACCCGTGAAACAGAGCGCACCAAAAGTTTAGCCCTTCGGCATATGTTTTCACAAAATTTCATGACACGACTTTTGTCTTTCATTGTACATACAGTAAAATAGAAAACAGTGTCCTGACTCTGTATTAAATTTAGTTGTTATAGTAAGTATATACTTTTTTTCCAGCCAGTATGATAGGATAAACAACACCAGAGAAGAATATTCCCAACACCCAGGACGAATCCGGCGGGACAGTGAAGCGGAGTGGGAGGAATGGCACCGTATCCGGGAGCAAGATGAATACTGTGGCCTCATGACCCCGAGAGAGAAAGGGTGGCTCAAGTATATCCAGGCCATGCAGTTACACTCGGAAAGTCCATACCAGGATGACTATTACTATGTGGTGAGTTGTGAATGTCACTTCTCTGTTGTCTGTGATCACTGGGGTTGTTTATTAAGTGACGGTGACAAACCAGAGCACGAAATCTTGGTTGAGATATTCATGAGTTATTCTTCCCAGGCTTTGTTATGGTGAAGGATATCAGGATCAGTCCCTCTTTTTCTCTATCTTTGATTTCTCTTGGAACCATCTTTGGTACCTGTTTGTTAATACACTACAGTATTATGCTGAGTTGGCCACTAGTCATATTAGTTGCCATCCCACGACTCTTGGGAAAATTCATAAAAAATATTGCCGCGTTCTTTTTATTTGTTTATTTATTTATATTTTTTATGTTCCTCTTTAGATGTACAGTGTTAAGCAGCAACACAAAAGAGAAGAGGAAGTGATAGAGATTGATGGTCTGCAGTTGCTGTTACCTGATCGTGGGAAGGATGGAGGTCGGGAGTATGAACCTCCGCGACTTGAAAACTCGTTAGGCAAACTACAGGTAGTAAGTGTTAATGCTCCGAGAAAAATTATTGATCTGCAAGTTGTACATCTCGACCCATCCCATCCTACGACGCCTCTGCAACGTGAAATGAGGAAACACAGACATCTCCTTCTCTTCATAGAAAAGGTAAATATGCAGTGTTAGGGCTTAAAACTTAATTTCATCATTTTTGTATAGCTATACAGTAAAAGGTAAATGCATGGTGGTGGTAGGGTAAAAACGAAGTGTCAGTACTAATGTTGGGTATTCAGGAAACAATAACAGATTTTGTTAAATTTTTTAGTAATATATTATAAAATATAGATACTGTACAGTGTACTGTACCATTATATGGTTACTATAATAATGGTTTATTCACCATATATAGCAGAGATTGTTATATACTGTAGTATCTTCAACACACTAAAGGCATGAAAGTAGATACTACCCAGTTTTAAAAAAATCGATAATCACCTTTGCACATTGAGTAGTCATATGGGTCCCAACATAATTATCAGGATTAGTGCCAAGTTCTATTGGACCCCATCCCTAAGGGTCCAACTAATTATTAGGTGAGGACAAGGTCCATATGACATGTTATCTAGTGTTCTTGCACTGATGTACTGTATTTTAAACAGAATGTTGTAGGATGTCTCTAGAGCCTTGTATGGTCATAAACACTTTCCTATCCTCCACAGTATTTATATCAGGAATTATTTACTCCAAGGCTTGATTATAAGTCGTTCTTTACAGCTGTTCAACGTAATGATGGAGCTCGATGACTTGGAGCGCAAAATTCGTCATTTACCAGATTGCCCAACGCGCGATCTCTTTAAGTCGAAGTCACGTCAGCAAGCTTCCAAACTTTGGGACAGTGTAACGGCAGCACCAGAGCGACTTGTGCAACTACTTTGTATCAGAAAAGGCAAGGTAAGTAAGTCTTTTATGTCTGTATCTATACATTGGAGGCTTAAGGACAGAATGAAGGGTTGCTTTAGAAGGGGGAGGATGAACACTCTAGGAAACAATGGTGTGGTAATGTGAATGATGAGTTTTATATTGTCATGTGGTTTGTTGGATTGGTCTTATTACAGGTGGGTGATGCTGGGCTATGTTAGGCAACGAAAAAACTTAATGAGTGAATGAAGGAAGTGTGTTTTTGTTGCTGTTTGATTCTGGCTTCCCTCAATTATAAAAGAAAAGTTTGAGATAGTACAGCTACAGGTTGCCTTCCCCAGTCTGTTTTCCTCAATCCGCCTCATACGAAAGTGAAGAGGAGGAAACGTGTCTAGCTAGAGGTAGATAGCGTTATGCTGCCTCATAAGTAAGTTAGATGAGGTTAGGTCATTCATGGGGTAAATTGTACATTCTTAAAAGACCTGTACAGTATTTAGAACCTGCAAACCATAATGAAGATATAAAATAATCTTAGTTTAATATTTGTGTTGTAAGGTTTGTTGTGTTACCTGATAAAGTAAATTAGGTTAAGTTAGGTTAGGTCTGTACATACATACTGTTTGATACAATGAAATGTATTCCTTAATTTCTTATCAGAATCTACAGACATAATCAAGGTAAAGAGAACAAAATATAAATTAAATTTTTTCTTCTCTAGAATAAAAGATAAAACTTGAATATGAATATTAAGTACCATTTATGTTCCAGAGTTTGTTATGCCGCTTAGTGACTTGGTTAGGTGAGAGCGAGCATGAGAAGTTGGTGCTGACCATCTTGCAGAACATGCCGCTGCTCGCCAAGAAAGATGTCCACGATCAACACTTTGCTCTCTTTTGGCCAATCACCGACCGCTTGATCGCATCTTCCTCATATGAACGCCTGTTGGACTTGGCTGCAGCTCTCAACACCCAAGGAGGAGGTTCTCACAAGACAAATTTAATATCAGCTTTATATAATAAGGTAATTATGGGGCCTTGTTGTGTAAGAGGGAGAGACCATACACTAGAAGGACACATAAGAAATAGGGAATAACAGTGAAGGAATAGTTTTTGTTGCTTTTGTTGCTCTTGATTTCAGACATCTACCCAACCCACAACACAGCCTTTGAGCTCTACTTCTTTTATTACCCCTCATTACAATGATTTTGGGTGATATTTATGCTGCTATGTCTGTTTGTCTGTATCTGTCTTTGTCTATAAAAAAAATTATCTTTACCTGTACAATGACTGAAGTTTAATTGCATGGCTAATGAGAGCTGTAGGGATTGCTTCTTGTATTTGCTGTTTGAACAAAGAGAAATATCACAAGAATTGGTCAATACTGTATTGGTTTTTAAGTTTTCAGGGATGAATGCTATTGTTGGCAAAACAATGCTTATGATGGAATTAGTGCATTGAATACTTTTTAGGTTTTGGGCAATTTAAATTTTTCAATGGTATGGCAACAATCTTAGAAAATAAGTAATTTGACTATTTTTCCTCCCTGTATGACAGTATTTTATATCAACAGTATGGTGTGAGTATGGTGATGGCTTTAATGGTACGAGGGGAGCACTTACAGTCCCTGCTCGTTGACTCTGATGTGTGGCAAGACCTCCTTGTAGCGGTCATCAACGGGCTGGCTAATGTCCCGGCAGACAATACATCCAAGACTTCCAGTGATGCCAGTAAGACCTCCACTACAGAGATACCCCAAGCCCTTCCTTCTGTTACTCTAGCAGCCTCACCTTATCGTCCCGCCCACCACTTATCAAGATGTACTCGTTCCGACTCAAAACTCCTCAAGTTAGCCCAGGACAAAATGGCGCTCCTGGAATCAACACACACAAAGCCAAGGAGTCAGAGTCCAGTCAAGTCTTAATCCTATAATCAATTAGGATGATAGAAGGAAACTTGGTTATGTTTGAATGATAATTACAGTATTTAATAACTGATCTTTGGGTTTCCAATCTTACTTGTTTCGGGGTCTAATGTTTTCGGTTTTTTGAAAGATTTTGAGAAAAGTTCAAAATAACACACGCCCACAATAAAGTTAAATTATTTTGTAAACATATTGACTTTATAATAGTAACAAAGAATTAGTGTTTTTAAGAATACTAATCAGAAAGCAGCCTATTGAGTGGGCCACCTACAATCACAATACAGTAGATGGATATGCAGACCTCTAGGATTTCTTTTGAGAGTAGTTCTCTTCTCACTTCTGATATACAGTACATCCTCATAAGCTATAATGTTTCATATACCATTAGACCATAGTTTTACAGTTGCATAACACTAACCAATATAGTCTTGCTGTGTAAGAAATACCTACAGTATGAAGAGAGGATAGAACAGAGTGACATGTTATGCAAATTGTTCATCTGGTTGCCAGCAGAGTTTGTATGTGAATTATAAAGATATTTAGCAGTAGTGAATGTGTATGGGAGTCACTACGTTACGTGGAGACTTTAAAGAGCCAGCATCGTCGTGGATCATAGAGGTGTGGTGTTTAGAAATAGTTTTAATGGTGACCAGTGAATCCTGTTAGTTTTATACTCCTTCCTGGCTCATCATGGTAACCGCCACTGGGGAGACAAGTAATGAGGTGTGTGAAGAAATGTTTCTACTAGTGGGAAGGAATTTGTTAGGTTGGGTTGTGGTGGTATTCCATTTAGCACACTAATGATTGAAGCATCACTTAGCACAAGAATAGTGGTTGGTAATCTGGTGTTGAATGTTATTAGATGGCTTCTATACTCTGCAGGCATTGATGACAGTTGTCATAACAGGTTTAGGAAACAGCCAAACAATCTAAAGCCACATGTATAGGCAAATGATTTTTCCAGATCTAGAATAGGTTGGTTCTGAAAGCCACTACTGAACCCTTAGGCCTCAAACTCCTGCACCTTCCTCATGAATAAGTTTTGTTTAAAAGTAATGGAACCTGAATTATCTAATTATTTATGGAAATTGCACTGCTAGGATTATCTTACCGTCTTTTAAGAATACTGTAAAATAAGAATATTCCTGCATAATTTAAGTAACATAAGTATCATTCTTAGAAAATTCAGGTTTTATTCCATTTACATGTTATTATTTCCAATTGGGGTTTGGTAGTGTCCGACATATCCCACCTGTTCAGGACCCAGAAAATTATTGGCCTTAGCCACACTTGGAGAAGCAGCTATTATCATGTGACAATAACTGAGGTGTTAGTTTATCAGCCCACTAATCAGTGTTATGTTCAGTATACTTGTACATGGTCTTCAAAAGGCTGTTACGCTACTGTGATACACAGTATATCAAAGAAGTTTATACTTTGCTTTTATTTCCTTAAGCTAATTTCTCCTGACAGTTGTTGATATTTCATGTGAAATTTTTTTCACTCTAGACGCATCAGAGTTAATTCATGTTTTATAAGAGTTTCTTTTTGGTATGAGTATGAAAGTGAGACTATTCTACTCCAATGACTTGCTACTGATGGATTTGTAAATGCAGGGAGAGTGAGAGAGAGAAAGAGAGAGAGCGAGAGTGTGTACTTACATTTTTGGACAAACTCAAGTCCCTCCTCAATTTGTTAAATAAATTAAAACATCTGATGTACATTTTTATATATGGCTCTAAATAATTTTTATGTTTTTTGGGCAGGGTGTTACACAAGTTGTTTGTAATAAGCTTGTTTTTGTGAGGTCTGTGGGGCGATATTGGTTAAGCCCAGGCTACATTTGTTTATGGCCTTCCAACACAGACTGCCCCTTGCCCACTGCTAAACTTTTTTTTTTTTTCTAAAATACACACCATTGGAACTGCATGAATTATTTTCTTTCTCCTTTTGATGTTTTTATTGTAAATTTTTTTGAGCAACATGCAATTTTAACCCACATAAAGGGAAAAGATATTCCAGTAACCATGTTGTTCAACCCTGCAAGAAATGCAGTGTAGAAAATAATAAAAGCAACACTGATATAGATGAAGTGTAGTTACTAGAATATGAACTAGAAATTATGTGAGTCTCAATTTTGTCTGGCTATGTCATTAACAGATGCTCAAAGTTTTAGGAAATATAAAGTACAGAAGCAACAGCAAAGTACATTGACAAATATAAAGTTACATTTATGTGCCTGTCTTCAATGTATAGATATACAAGTTTTTGTAATTTTACATACTGTAAATTATATATTAAATGTGACTTAATATGTTTTCAATTTAATTATATAGTTGTCCTTAATAAACAAGAAAAAGTATGTTTTTAGAATTGGACGACAGGTAGAGGCAGAGAAAGTTTAATGGTGTTGGGAGTTTTATGAAAATCTTGATGTCTAGGAGAGCGAGCGTGGGCTAAACAATGTTCACTTGTCTGTGGGTCACATTGAGGGACCACAAAATCACCAGGTTGGAAAAATTCTCAAATGATCATATGCCACATTTTCCCACTAACTGATGCACTCTGGCTGAGACAAAAAATTCAAGATGTTAAGATTGTATGAATACCTGTACTTGTATAACTAAATTATGGGAAAATTTCAACATATGAAACTTTGAGGTAACTACAATTAAACAACCAAACTTTTAGTGAAGGTGTATTATGAATAACCGCTTAGTTAATTCATGGGTCAACCTGTTCCTTCTGGGTAAAAAGTGTTAAGAGTTTAGTTTTAGATTACAAGTATATTATCTCCCAATTATATAAGCTATGGCTATATTATCTTTGTACTATAGGTGTAGTGTGTCATATTCTTCAAAATTAAAGGGCCCCTATTATCGATGCAGGGATGGAAACTCAATATCTGAACCTAAACTGACCATAATTTTGTTTCAACTTGATAGCATCCAATGTGTGCTGACTGGGAACTTTAAAACCATGACCTTGATATCTGAATAAAAATAAAGCAGGTTTTAGGATTGTCTGGGAGAATATATACCAGTTGGTCATAACATGGATGTACTGTACTGTATAATTTGTTCTTTGAGATATTTACTGTGGACATATCTTACTTAAGTTCAGACATTTTGACTAAAGGCTCATTTATGATTGACAACATGTAAAAGGATTATAAACCATTGTCTGATGTATGCAAAACTTAAAATAAGATGAAGATTAGTTAATAAGCTAAAGAAACAGAAAAAATAAGATTAAATAACACATCTAACAAAAAAAAAAGCCTGAAGGAGTTGGATGAAGCTATAAAGGTTCAGCTGAAGATTACCCAGCTACCAAACAGGGAGGTACTGGTACTACCACCTACGAAGATATTGGAAGCATATTGTGTTGTGTAATGGTAGACCCTGCTGCTATATGGCATCACGAAAATTGTGACCAAGTTCCAAATTGCTGATCTGACTTTCTGCCACATTTACACACAGTTGCAGGGCCTCAATTGTTTCTCTTCCTATTGACAACACAACATACATATACAGTATCATTTCTCACTATTGATTTTTTTCTTTATTCTGTAGTTCTTTATTATTATTATTACAATGTTATTATTATTATTGTTATGATTATTATTTACTTTTTATTATAAATTTTATTTACTATTATTATTATTATTTAATGTGGGTCAGTGACCTGTGCCCGGGTGGGCTAATCCCCGTAAAACAAAGCTGGGCGAGCTATTTACTAAGAGAACCCTTGTTAGAACAATACAATATTATCAGTGAAAGGAATGCAGTATAAGCTTGGGGGTAAACAAACTAAAATTACTCTACTGTATAATTGATGATAGTTAAATATCTTGAGTTACCAAAATAGAAAGGATAAAAGAACGATGAAGGTCATGGGCTGTTTTGAGTGACAGAGAGATACAGTATAACAATACTGCCAATATTTTTTAACACAGGAGTATAAAGTCTTATTTGAAGTACATATGAAGAGTAACATGTAAATATTAAATAATCATATACATATAGTAATGGTAGCATTCTAATTTCTACATTGATATATCTTCAAAAGTTATCTATGGTATATTAAGTTTAGCGGGCCTTAGTGCACAAAGCTGGCAGTAGATGACAGGGCAGATTGTTATGGCGGCCGGCGTCGCTGATTGGCTGAGACGAAGTGTTATGGCGGCGGGCGTCGCTGATTGGCTGACGGTGGAGATTTAAAGCTGGCCGCTGTTACTGTACAGGGAGATTTAAACTCGCATATGTATATTAACTAATTTTCAAGCGATTTAAAGTTTACTCTGATAGTTATCCCCAGTAAATAATCATGGAAGATGACAAAGAAGGCTTAAAAGACGTCATCTTAGAAGAACTGGCTCGTTTGGGCGTACAGGAGAACCCCAAAAGAAGCAGCCATGGCCAGGGCAGCAAACTCCTGGGTATTACCAATTCTAACAATATATCCTCTAAATCCGGTAAATCTAAATCGAAAGGCAAGAGGAGTCCCCGAATATCAGGATCAAGGAGTCCCCTCAAACACCAAGGAAGTAATAAAGGGGGACGGGAGGATAGGAAACACACGGCCCCTAAGTCACCATTCTCATCAGCCAAGAGGAGGGCAGAGCAGCGCAGACAACACAGTAAAGACAATAAAAAAGTGAGTTATATTTACAACTTTATTTACAGACCAGCTTATTATTCTTAGGCTCTATTGATATTTACGATTTTTTTTACAATCATTTTTACCTACAGTACTGGCTTATGATTTTTAGGGTCTACAAATAATAATTAGGCTCTAATGATACTTCCAACTTTTTTATGGACCAGTTTATGATTTCTAAGGTTTTTTGATCCGTTAGTGTCAATGAGAAAAAAGGACTAGATGTGGTTAATGCACATGTTGATGCCGTGTTTGTGCTTCTGTTGACAAATGCTTCTCAAAGACTTTATCGTACCGTACCCAACCAAGACTAAATGGTAAAATTATATTTTCGGTCATCCCTATATTTTTTTTTAATGTTTTTTGACGTGTTTTGAATGATTTTGATCTAACCTAACCAATGTAACCTAACCTAATGTAACCTAACCAACCTAGCCACAAAACCCATAACCATATCTAACCTAATGTAAATTCTTAAGGTTCCCCAGATTACCGAGACGATAATAATACCAATTAAATAACCTAACATAAATTAACTTACCTATCCTAACCTAAACTAATATTATATTGGTAGATAATTCCATCCTAGTATTCTGTAGGTAGGTAGTTAGGTAGGTTTATTTAGTTCCTTTTATCTTTCAACAACTCATACCTGATAATATAAATAAGGCAAAATGATGTCACAGGAAGCGAATACATCACCAATATTCACGTTCAGGTGAAAAAAGTGAGAAAAACGATAATAAGAAAATTGCAATTCCTCCTTGTTTTAGGGGGATGAAAATTAGATAAGAGTGAACAATGTCTGATACAGTATTAGCAGGAATAAAGCCATTGATCTGTTTTATGTCTGTTCATGCTAAAATGAAGTATTGTATTAAGAATTGTGTAATCTTTTCACACAAACAAAATGCTTATATGAAAGAAAATTAAAGTATTAGGATTCATTCCAAGGTGTGACTTAACATTTTCATTAATTTTAATTGACTTCTCTCTGTGAAAAGGTAAGCAGGCCATAATCTTCATACATTTAGGGCTTTGACAAATTACTAAAATCCCTCAGGGAATTATGTCTGATTTTAGCAGGCACATAGGATAAAATTTTTTTTACCTTTAACGAGATTATACAATAGACTAACATTTGCTCCTCATGGCAGGTGTTTGGTCGTGAACTGGGAAATGTTCCATCGGTGTGTGTGTACTTGTCAGACGGCATACAAGTAACAGTCCCGGAGTTTATGGTGGATGTGTGTAGTCTCATACGGCGGAATATTACGGTGGAGGGGATCTTCCGCAAGGCTGGGTCGTCACAAAGGCAGAGTGATATTAAGGTGAGTAGTCTATAACTCCCTGTTTGGCTTAAATGATTTAGGTGGATACAGTACAGTGAAGATATTCTCTAGTTATCTTTAGACAATGGTTCCTCTATTGTACCAAGTTCTGTAATTGGTTATATTTTTTGAGTGCACGAGTACAGTACAGTTTTGCTTATACAGTATATTTATACACATAGATGAACCATACTGATTTTTGTCAAGGTTACATGGGTCAGCCATTCCATTGATGATTTCAGTTTTAACCTCCAGAAAGGAAGATACAAAGACATACATTGCTTAACATTAGTAGATGAATTATATCAGGAGGTACTGTACATGTCAGTGATGTGTGTAGGCAGTTAAAAGTACAGTAAAATGCTATTCTTGTTATGAACTCTTATGGTTAGTAATGTACTTATTTTAATGTGTGGTTTTCTATGTTACTTTTACAGAAATTAATAGATAGTGGCAACAGCCTTCCCAACAGCGTACACGTGGTAGACGCTGCTTGCCTCCTCAAACAGTTTTTAAGATGTCTTCCTGATCCAATTTTATCATCTGAGGTCCACTCCAAGATTATCAAGTTAGTTCCATGAGATAAAAAACTGAAGTGACTGAAATGACAAATGCTTGAGAGTAACTTGTGTGGTAAATGGGATGTAGAGAGTGAGAAAAACAGAAATAAATAGATGTGGGAGTGAAAGGAGTGTTGGGCAGAGAGCATATGGGGTCTTCTCTGTTGTAATGGATGTATTGAGAGGATGAGAAGTGATAGCTTATATAAAAGAATGTAAGTCAGGGTTGGGTAGTAGGAGGTAGAGTGGAAGACCATACAGGTGGGAGGATTGGGATAAGGATCTACACCATCTACTGTAAAATCTGAAGTAGTACAGTTGTCAGGTTTTTTATTTCTGGTTAGTGTCCCCTCCCTGCACCCTCCACAATAAGGTAGGATGGGGCTTGGTTAGTAACACACTGAGGTGCTTTGCTGGACATATCTCTCACTTTGCTTAATTTTCCTGAAAGAATTATTCATAGCTTATGCATATAAAGTTACACCTTTTGAAAAACTCAATTTCTGCAATTAATTTAATTAATAAGATAATAGCTTATGTCCTGTATAAGTAATAGGGGGTTTAAAGATAAAATAATTACAAATGTAGATATGTTACTTTAGCTTTAGGTATATATCTAAAGAGGAAATTTCTTCGCTATTTTAACCAGGATTCATGGGGTCATTCCCATTGATCAAAATACAGGTATTCCCCGACTTACGACAGGGTTACGTTTGTGGACCCTGACCATAAGTCGATTTGTTCATAAGTCAGAACAGTGTTAATTCCAAAGGTTAGGTTAAGTTAAAGCACAACCCAGCACATAAAAAAAAAACAAGACATTAATATCCCATACATAACATATAATGTAAATAAAGTGATTTGAAACAATATAGAATAATGAAAAAAAAAGGGGGGTGGATTTTAATCACAAATTTTTGCAATGAATGTATTGGGATCCCGTTTTTAAGTGCGGATGATTGTATGTCGGACAATCGTAACTCGGGGACTGTCTGTAATGAATGCAGTCTAATGAGTGCATTATTTTCTTTCCTTACAGATGCATGGAGCTAGCACAGGAGACTAAAATTGAGGCCATTCTTCTGTGTACAATGTTATTACCACAAACCCACAGACACACACTTGTGTACTTGATGGATGTAAGTTGTTGTACATTGTTAGGGAAAATTGTGGACACTACAGTAATGTTTTGGTGCTGTGCTGCCATCTGTGTATTAGCTTTTTGTTTGTTGTAGTATTCAATGACTTAAATTTTGTTTGGTAAATTCTTTTCAAACTTTTTCAGAATGTTATTCAAAGGAAAATACATATCAGGTTTACTTTTGTTGGCTAGCTTCAAGGTTTTAAGTTTGTAGGTACTGCACTGTACTCTGAATTTGTGATCCTGATGGTGGGTTGGGGACTCAAAGTGGGATGATTGAGTAAACTGGGAGGAAGAACTTTAGAATTATGGGTTTAGAATTTTCCAGTTTAAAAAAAGTAATAGAACTGATTAATAATAGTAGGTCAAATAAGCTGTACACGAAATGATGAATCCATGATTTTATTATTACCGTGTAAGAACTTTTAATACACTGCGTATGCATGTGTCATACATGTGTGTGCATTAAGTGGTCTTTATGAAGTTCTTATGTATGATCTATTATGAAGGCACTGTAATATTAATATCCAACATTGCACTAGTTCTTCTCGGATGTTGTGACTACAAGTAGCAGCAACCTGATGGATGCACGCAACCTGGCAATAGTGTTAGCCCCAAATCTCTTGCCAACGACCATAACTCTACCCTCCACCAGCAGTTGGAAGTCATCGACCCAGTTTTTGACATGTGAGGATGCCATGCTTGCCACCAATATTGAAGTTTTGCAGGTACATAAATTGAAAGATTTTTATGTTCCCTTTTTGGATAGTGGTATCTTGAAGGGCAGAGCTCTCTTACTACTGTATGAGGAAGTTTGTTGTAAAATGGATGAATTTCTTCAAGGTTTTTAAAGAAAAAGGTGGAGCTGCTGTTCCTCACATGATATCACAGTATTGTACAGCACTTGTAACTCATCAACATAGATTTTTTTCCTCCTTGACTTAAATGAGTTTGACAGACCTTAACCTTAGCCATAGTGGACAAGTAAGTCTGAAATAACAGTTTGGTTCTTGATAAGTACCTTAAGGTAAATTACCAAACACCTGACAACATACGGTACTTGAAAACTGTGGGTTACTAATCCATATTTAACTATTTGCAGCTGCTGATTGAGAATGCTTCACTGGTGTGTCGCTTGCCAAGGAACTTAGCATTGGCTCTTGAACATAGAGAAAAGAGTAAGTCAACGGAGAATCTAATTGCTACCACCCAGCCACATACTGCAACTAGAAAGAAGCGTCGCAGTGCATCAATACACAGTCAGTAATCACAGTATCACAGCATAAAGTTTTCTTAGAGACAAATCATTATTCTAGACTATTATCTCTAAAATGTATGTTTCTTGTATTAACTTAAAAAAGAATGTTAAGTGTTTGTTTGAACATTGCATTATGAATTATTGTAATAATGGTTGAATTCAGTGCCTATTATATTTAATTTATAGTACTGTATGTATATTAACATACTGATTTATTAATATATTTACAGTATTTGATTATCAACTGAAGAAAATCACTTGTGAATCTGAAGAATTTTACTTTTTTAAACTTTGCTGTACTGTACTGTATATTTGTTTATAATGTTAGGTGTTATGAACTGCATTAAACACAGAAGAGTACTGCACCAGTATCACATAATCTCATTAATCAAGGATCAGAAAATTTTCATAAATTAAACTTAAAAACAAAAAAGATGGAAACTTATACTTGACCACTATAGTTTATGTCCATTTTTATTACTGAATTAGAAGGATTCATTTTGTATATTGTATCTGTAGTTGCAAATTAAGGATTTGTGGAAGTATATGTTGGCATTTGTATGTATTGTCTAAACCTTTTCTAGTCTATTTCTCTTCTTGTCTTCACCTCTTGATCAACCTCACATGAAGATAAAACAAATAGCTATGTATAATATATGTACAGGTATCTAACTTGACGTCTTCACGAGTGTTTAATATATCTGATTTACAAATTTTATATCCGTTTTATTGAGTTCTTCCAGTTATTGTGAATTAATTTTACTGTACTTACGTTTTGTTTTTCATCCTCTTCCTCCTCTCCATTACCACAGGGCTGATGACAGGTCTGCGGCGTGTGGTCGGTCATTCGAGAGCTGATTCGGGCTCTCCTCTCCGAGCAGCTGGGAGTGCCGAGGAACTGGACTCCCTACACTTACACCCGGGTATAGCACTATCCCCAATGCCAGGAACAGAACCATCACCTCGAAAACGCAAATCAGCTGACGCGTTTGACCTTTGCCTAGAACCTACGAGGTGTGTTGGCTTTATGGCTTATTAACTCTCTGGTGATGGTTAGAAATGTAATGCATGTCCTGTCAGCTTCTGTAACTCCTGTGATGGTAATGATTATTGAATGATGAGTGTGGGTGAAGCAATCTATCTGTCTATCTATCTCTCTATCTCTTTCCATATCTATCTATCTATCTGTTGACATACAGTATTCACTTCCATATTGTTTGAACCAGTCATCTGCCCTCATACTATACACATACTGTATTTGTGCAATTTATTTCTTGGCCTTTTCCTGTCACACACTACATTACTCTTGCATCATAACTTGTCTCCCATTCTTGTTTGGGATCGTTCAGAGGGCACAGAAACCTGAAAGAAAAGATGGTAATGATATGATGAACAGTGCAAAATTACTGTAGAAAGTGAGAACAAGGGTAAGAAGAGCTAGTAGAAGTATTACACATGCAAGTACAGTACCATGTAAGTGGAGGAGGAATAGAGATACAGTAATGGATAGATTGATGTTGTTTTTTATTTTAATTTTTTTGTTTACATTTTTATGGTGGTGGGTGTTCTTAAAGCCACCCACAATTTTAATACTGTATAAATAACTAAATATTTTGCTTATCAACTTCCAAAATTAGAACAATCCTGATATACAGTACAGTGGTCCCTCGGTTAACGAGCGCCTCGGTTAAGGAGATTTCGGTTAACGAGCAACCTTCTAGAACGGATTGTGCTCGTTAACCGAGGGACCACTGTACAGTATATACAGGTACAGTACAGGTATGCAGTTTTTGTGTGTACAATTTTTAAAAAACTATCTTGACAAAACTGTGTTGAGAAAATATGACACAACAGACAAAATATTTTGACAACCCGACTGAGACAACAGCAGTCACAGTGTTTCTCTGAAATTCATCAAATCCTGCAAGTAAAGTCAGTTTTCGGAGTGACTGTACTTGTGCTAAATAGGGATAATCATCTTATTAAGCCTTAAAACACAACTGTCAGCTTCTGTGACAGTAAAAGAATACAGTACAGTATACGTATAGAATATTGTGAATAACAATAGGCTCATTAATACTTTGGGTGGCTGGTAACAAAAGGAAGTCTTACCATTTTGTATTAATGTCACAGTTTACATTCAACTGATGTCTGATTCATGTAAGTGGTGACAGCATGTTTAAGGTGTGCATGTGGAGCTAAAGTGTTGCAACAATATGGTGAGTTTTGCCAGAATAATAATATAATTGGTTAAATTGGCTTCAGGTCTAATAGGCCCCAATTTAACCATACCTCGCCATAGGATTGCATTCTGTTTTTAATGGTTAGGTTAAATTAGATTGGGACCCATTTCACCTACAGCCAATACAAATTATGTAAAAGAAACTGGCTTTCTAAATTTAATTTGAAGTGCCATTAAATTCCATCTTCTACCATCTGACCCACTGCTTTCTTCTTTCTTCTTCATTTCCCTCTTCAGGGGAAGAAGTGCTTAGATCTAAGGCCAATTATTTTCTAGATTCAGAATAGTTGAATGTGAAAGCCACTGCTGAACCCCAAGCTACAATTTCTCAAACTCCTTGTGGAAATAACCAAGTCATATGAAACCCCTTTAAAAGTTAAATTTTTTTGAGCCGATTCCAGACAGTGCATTTCACATATACTGTACTACAGTATCAAAAATATGTTGATATCAAACAATAATATTTCAGGAACAAAATAATCTCTAGAAGTTCATTTCCAATCATTTAATTTTTAATGCAACCATAAGGAGGTGCTCCTCCCAAGCCCAAATTTACCAGTACCATGAACTTTGGCATAGCTTGTTGTTGCCACCTGTTACTTACATTTATTATATGACTAAAAGGATCTCCACTTATAGATGCATACCGGTAATCTTCATAAAGTTTAGGACTGAGATAATTACAGCATAACAGTATTGGTTCCTTAAGAGTTCATCTCCTTCACCCTCAGTCCATCATGAATCAAACTGACTTAACCTCTTCTTGGTACTTAACCTTAAAGTAATTCATGAGGAACACTGTAGAGACATTCAAACCTGATATGTTCTGAATCTGGAATGATAGCTGGCAGTAGTCATAATCCCCCGCCCAATGTTGACCCATCTGGTCAATTACTCCATCAGTTTGGTGAGTGGCAAGGTGTTGTGTTACAGAGGCCATCAAGCTGGTGTTGACGTCCACCCTTTGTTTACACCTCCATCTAGCAAGAGGGCCAAGGTTGAACTTGCGGTGGACACAGTTGTTGGGTCTTCTGCTACTACCACTAGTGCTGTGGATGCTGCATCTTCTGCTGTTTCTGCTAGCCTTCCTCTTCTTGTTAGCACGACCCCTTCACTTACTGTGAGTATGCTTACACATGAATATTGGCACTGTTCACAAAATTGCAAATTAGAAAATTAGGGAAGACTTCCTCTGCTAACAGTCTCCCCACACCCTCACCCCATCCAAAAAATCTAAGACGACAGAATATTTTGTATTATTTAATGATATAAAAAAAAATCTAAACCTTGTAAAGAGACATAAATGTTCATGAACTAACATCTTATTTTACTTGGCTGTTGGAAAAGAAAGTCTTATATGAAGGGTGATAATGCTTTTCGATTGCTTAGTTAAGCTTCAGAAAGTAAATTTGTGACAATACCATGTACTGTTGTATGCATGTCAACCTTTACTGTACCTCTTTTAAAATTTATTATGTTTACTGAGTACCACAAAACCAGGCCAATTGGGCTCAACCCAGCCTAACTATTGGAAATGGGATCACGTTCCTAATAGTTCGGCTAGGTTGGGCCCAATTAAAACTGGAGCCCATGTCATCTGCAACCAATGACCATACTTGGTGTAAGAACTGTGCTGTACCCTGTAGTTCAGATTTCCTTTATGACAAGAATCTTTGTTCTGGTACTCTTACTTATAATATGCTTATTGTTTCCATTTAACCCATATAATTCTCGGTGTAACAGACTGAATTATAATACAGGTATTTTAAATTACAAATCTGCACAATAATGCATTTAAGGGTCTCTGTCAATCTGTCTGGTGTGCTGTTTGTTCACCCTGAGTGAAATTAGTGCTTGAATTTTTGGCCATACTGTTAGCAAACTTTGCATGTGGGGTGATGGTTCCCTGGGTGTGATCAAGGGTGACAATGAGAGGAGATTCCATTTTGACTTAACGAGGGAGCTTAAAAGTAATATCAAACATTCACCAGTACTGTCAGCTGCTGGTTGTTGGTGGGAGGCAGGTGAGGCCTCGGAGTCATCATGTCCCATAATGTCAAACAACATTGAGACTGACTTGAGTTTACATTAAGAGGAGTGTTGCATTTTAAAGAGATTTAATAAGTATCTTGTGTGTAAGACAGTGATAAGCTCTTATAAATTTTATTGTACTATATTGTAATGTTTTTTCTATGCCCTCAATGCCTATGTCAAGGGACTTATGATTTGGAGCTGTTCATAAGTACAAGTGTCCCAGTCAAGTCTGAGGGTGGGATTTCATAAAAAAAAACATAAACAGTATATATATATATATATATATATATATATATATATATATATATATATATATATATATATATATATATATATATATATATATATATATATATATATAAAGTGCAAAAAATTAATTTTTTTAGTCTCATTTATATATGCATCTCTGTATCATCTAATTGGGTTTTCAAGTTATTTGGTTAATATTTGTTTTGTTTTTTATACTGTTGACATTTTGTGGCAAGTTTAGTTGCAGGATTAAATGGTCAATGTCAGTGTAAATTGACAAAATTATGTTCTCTTTTAGATTCATCTGAATTTTCAAGCTGTACATGCCACTGTTGTAATATCTGGGGTGCACAACATGTGCTTCACAAACACAGCTCTAGATTTCTTTTATTGTTTTCCTTGCAGAAGAAGCAGAACTTTAAGGTGGGTCAGCCCTGTTTCATTCGAGAGGTCACGGGCTCACGGGACATACTCGCCCAATCGCCTGGCCGACCCTCCCTCTTGGGCAACTCCAAGCCGAGCATCAAGAGGACCACTTCTGCGAAGATCGGAACGTTCCCCAAATCCCCGAGCACTAACGTACACACAGTCCACGCTGGTATAAATAGGAAGAGTTTAGGTCGAGTTGAGTCTCTCAGAATTGAGCCATTAGGACTCAATAAGGTAGGTTCCCATTTGAAGACACAATCACAGGCTACTTCATTGATGTCACCGGTTGTTAGGCCAGTATTAAAGCGAAGGAGCTGTGATATTCCACTTAGGACTGGTGTCAAGAGAGTGAGCACATCTGAGGAACCTGTTCGGGTTAGACACAGGAGTAACATTGGCAGGAGGATGAGTCAGAATGAACCCGATGGTGCAGACGTCTCTACTCTGGGGCCACGTGGAGTGCCTGATGGAGCAGAATGTACTCTTAGAAATCAAATGGTACCAAAGCCCAGGGTGAGTGATTGTATAGAAACACTGGAGCAACACTATGATGATATCAAGTCTGTTGTAAAAACTATGGAGGATGAATATGATAAGAGTAATGTCCAGCAGATGAAGGAAGTATATTTCCCAGATAATTCTTCAACATCTGCACAGAATATGAGTTACTCAGAAATGATACAAAATGCATATGAACGTATGAAAGTAGAGACAAAAGATCTTGGAGTCAGCCCATCGGATAATTTGTCTAAAAGATTGGGAAAGGAGCTCAAAATTCGTAATCGGAGAAGTGGAGAACACAGAGTGATAAGGTCTCCCAGTGAACGGAAGATTGGCACTATCAGACGTCGATCAAGGGAGTTGGTGCAGAATGCTGCCAAGAGCCTTATTAATGTGGAAGATACACCTACAAGTAAATCAGTTCAGACACCCAAGATGAAAGGGACTCTGATGCAAACACCAATAAGTACCTCCTTAAGGAGAGGGAGACCAAATTCTGTGAAGTCGGGACTTCCATTTGTGGTGCGGACCTCTGCAAGCAACAACTCTGATTCACCAATGCAGTTTGAAGAGACAACACCGACTAGTGTCGGTCGCAAGGTAGTAATAAGTAAGAGAAATGATGACTCGCATCTTAGAGGTGAGAGGAATAACATGTCTAAAGTGTGCCAAAATGAAGTTTCTCTTCAGCAACGATCACGAAATATGAACATCTCTAATATGAGTGGTGATGAGAGTTTAATTGGCAGCTTCCTTGAACAGCTTCCTGGGCCAATGACACGGAGGAGATCCAGTCTTTTATCGTTAGTTTCTAATGTTTCAGCATTTAAGCTTTCCTCCACAGAAACCTCTCTTACTGATGAATATATTAGGGGGGGTGGTAATTCTTCAGCACATAAGCAGCACAATACTTCAGGGGGTGACACTATGGAAACTAACAAGCAGATGGAGGAGCATAATAAAGAACAGTTTGAGGTCAAGAAAACTCAGTCAGCAATGATGGCTGTTCCTCAGTATTATATGTCTGGTTCTGGAGAACAATGGCTTTCTGCAACAGAATTCATTAACTGTTTACCTGTAGAGGACCAAGAAGTTTCAACAGGGGATGAAAATGTTGGAAGACCATCACTTGCAGCTCTGATGAAACAGAAGAAAGTAACTGCCAATGTACAACTTTTCAACAACCTTCACACGGATAGTCCTTATCAGCTACGGCGACAGTCTAGACTCCGTTACACTCCTCATCAGCTTCCCCCAGAACGTTCTTCAGTCTCTGATCGTAATGGGATCAGACTAAGTTACTCAAAGAGCATGTCTCACCGCTCGACTATGACGCCACGGGAACTACTAAAGGTTAGGCAGAAATCATTACAATTTGATAAACCTCCTCTCAACCCTGCAAAAATTGCCGTAGTATCGCCATTAAAGGAAAGTACATGGCTAAACATTCAGAGGGAACATTCACACGAAACTCCAAAGGCATATAAGGGAGAGGCCACAGCTCCTCGGTCACTGTTGAAAAAGAACGAGGCAATATTTAAGACCCCAGAGTCTCCCGTCACCTCTGGTTTTCCCAATGTTAGTAAGTCTCCGGCATCCCCCTTTATGACTCCCTCTGAAACGTCACATAATCCACCAAAGCTGCCGCCGCGTGCTTCCATAAGGCCTTCACCTATCAGGATACAGTACAGATAATTTTCTTACACTGGTGATCTTTGCTGCTGGATGAAGAGTAACTGGAAGTGAGCTAATACACACACATGATCACACACTTTCTCTTCATCTGTTGTTATTAATTCATTCATTCTTTCAACTATAAAAGATATGTTCCATTATGATACTCCCCTTCCATCTGTCCAGAACAAGGCCCCAAATCTGGTTTACCCTTGTCATTTCACACAAGCCAGAATCGCCTATCAGCAGCACAAATTTTTTTATATAATATCATTTTATACCCAACCCTGTTTACACACACACTGCTGCTTCCTGAATGACATCCCCCACCTAAGAAGACCTTGCTGAGCTCTTTGCCCAATGTTCCTTCCAATTCTTATTTTTTACTCACTGCATTCAATTTATCCCACATATTGGCCTTATGCTTATTATGTCTATCACCTCTGATTTGCTCCATCCTCCTGCATGCAGAGGCCATGCTTCACAACACTGCCTGTATTATATGGCAAATTCGTCTGTGTATTGCTTAACCTTTACTTTTATTAATGAAGTTCCTTATTATTTCTCTTCTAATAGAGATGTGCTGTTTTCAGGATCATTTCAATTCACTGTAAATTTGAATCATTACATGTATTTCATTATTAGGAATTATTGCATTCATATCATGTCTGAGTTCATTGTTTGATAATTTTTTAGGCTTTTGTGTTTTTATATTTTTGTTGCCCAGATGATATATTGTGCAGTTTTTTGTAGTTCATAAATATTTTTCATGGGACCATGACACCCAACAACTACAGTAGAGTTCAGAGTTCATTCTTTTATATATATATATATATATATATATATATATATATATATATATATATATATATATATATATATATATATATATATATATATATATATATATATATATATATATATATATATAATCATGAGGCTGTAGGTAGTTTTCAACGCAGTACAATAGAGTACAGTATATACTGTAGATAGCCATGGTTCATTCTGTACTGATGTGAAATGTGATCCTTCTGTGTCTTTCTCTATTTAAGACAATACTATTATTTTAATTATGTTTTATAAATGCTATTTGAATGTGTGCCATACTAAAAAAAAGTATATTAACTCTTTTCTCGTGTAAATTGTTAATAAATTACCCACACTTTCATCTCATTATTTTTGGATGTTAGAAGATTCAATAAAGAACTAAAATATATATATACACCATTGATTTATGTTTACACCATTACTGTTGAGCTGTTGTACTTATTCCCAGTAACAGTAGGAACCCAAAGATGTGGTGGTACATGACTGTGATTGTTTGGTATTTTCTTGGATGGGATAAAGAGAAGTGACAGTAAAAGAGGTGCAAACTTTGGTGAATTATGATATTGATGAAAAGAAGGATAAACCACTAACCTGACCTAACCCCCAGGAAGTACTGTATTGTTTTTTCTTCAAAGACAGGTATAGTACAGGTATTCAGAAAACATAGATACTATAGATAATCACAATACAAACTACAGTACTTCATAAATGACTGTACTAACTTATGTAATTTAGATACAGTTTGGTTACGTTAAATGCCTCAACTTGTACGCTACTCTTCGTTGATTTCCTTTGAATGTCACAACTCCTGTACCCATGGACCCACTTATACAAGAGGCTGAGAAAGTGTGGCATATCAGGAAAGATTTAAGGGATAACATGAAGATTAAACGGACCCAAAAATTAAAAGAGAAAAAAAAGGCCACGTTATCCCTCGAAATTCAAGATGTTTTCTCACAAAAATTCAACATTGTACGATAATTTTAATTTATTTTTTTAATGTTTAAACCCCCATGTGTAGAGCCCCCCCCCCCTTTTCGAAAATAATTTTTTTCCTAGGCAATTATTCACTACTGGTATTACAACAAATTCGTCCACAATTAATATAGAAATTGGTGTCCTCTCGACAATAACCAAGTTTGGTACAAATCTGTTGAAAAATAAAAGCCTGAGGTTATTATTTTAAAAACTTTTTTATTTAATGTATTTAATTTTTCTCAAAAAGTATTTGGTCAGTTTGATTGAAACTTGCAGGGTTTGTTATTTACATGAAGAGTAGGACATATTTTATTGCTAATATTAATATTTCTGTTGGAGGCTTTCCTCCCTGACTATGCTGAGATACGAAGTTCATAACTGCCAGGAGATCTGAAGTCCATACAAACTACAATAAAAAATGTTTCACTAACAGTTCATAACAGCCATGGTGCTCGTACGAACTCTGGCATTAGTTTGTAAAATGCCGACGAGTGGCGGTGGTGTCTGTCCTCTCGGCCAGTCCCTGTGACTGAAACATAACTGAGTAGGAGATGTAAGCTGATCATGTTTCAACAATATTAGGCCCCATAGGGTCCACTTGTGATCACCTTAGACATTTATAGAAGAAAATAGGGTAAATTTGGAGGAAGCATTCAGCATGTTTTAATTATAGCTATGTGTTTTGCCAGTTTTTTTTTCAGTTGGGAATAGATTTTCTTTTATGGCGTTTATGGCACAAATTTTTTATTTTTTGGGGGGGTTGTCTTCAATAATAAGTCTTCCCCAATTACCAACAATATTGTCTGCTCAAAGTGGACAGGGCTGTGAAGTAGAGGAAAAAAAATCAAACCCTTGAACACCTTACCTAACCCATTTAAAAGGTTAAAAATTGCTTTTGATTTCATGGATCCCTTCTCATCTGAACACAGAAAACTATATCAACACATTAAACAAAAACAAGACTATTTATTTTTTTTTCCAATATTTTCCTAGACTTACTTAGATTTTTATAAGGTTATAAAAAAAAGTGTTACACTTCATTGTCTCTTTATTTGTAAGTAAAGATTTTATGTGAAATGTTTCAAAAGTAGCTTACATCTTCCTCTGCAAACTGAAGGTAGTAGTTATTGCAGCCTCTTTTTCACCATGAATTTTGTGAAATGTACCTTAACCTAATGTAGCCTAACCTTACCTAAGTCCAAGAGAAATAGTCGCCATAATCGAAAAACTTAAAAACAAAATAGCTTAACGTATTGTATCAAAAAATAACATCCAGTCAAATTTGTTCCAAATCATATACTATAGTTCCTAATAGTGCTTTATCTTTATATTATTAATATAGTTTAGAAGAATATTGGCCGCTGATACGATAAAGTTGACATCATGGGTCAGCCTGTTAGATCCTATATAAGGTACTCGGAAAAAATGGCACAAAAAATTTCATTGAGCTCACGAACCACAAACGAGCTCGTTAGCTCGAGCTAACAAAGGCCCTCTCGAACCACAAACGAGCTAAAGCGTGCATAGGTTAGGTTAGGTTATAATATTTTAGTGCACACGTCAATAAATATTAATGTGCTTTTTTCCAAGTCTGATGATTATGCTTTTTTTGGTGCCATATTTTCCTACATTCTCTATATAACAGACCCGTCCCAGTTAAAAGTTTTAGTGGATTTACTCCATTGTACACAAGTGTCTTCCTTACATCAAAGGCTTTCATGCTACACGTTTATGCAATTGTAGAAGTCATCAAATGGTTGAGTATTTCGCCAGGTGTGTGTTAGTTACGTCGTGCCTCCAGGAATATGCAGAAGTCTGTTATCAGGCTGTGGGTAAGACAATGTTCCCGATGAGACAATCGATGAGTATTTTGGGTATTTGCTAAGAGTTCCATTTCCTGACTTCATGATACAGGTAAGGGCCCAGATTTACTAACACTGCCGAAATACGAAGTTCATAACTGCCGGGAGATTGTGTTGAGTTGAGGGCAGTAGTAAAAGGAGGGGGCCTCACCTTAATGTGAGAGAAGGAGGGAGTGAAGTGAGTGTACCCAGTGAGGGAGAGTCCAGACATAAGAAACTGATGAATGACATTTGAAGAATTCTATTAAATTTTATGGAACGTTAGCAATCTAAAGGTTGTATATTTAGATAGTTTTGCACTATTAAAATAAATATATTAATAATTTTTAAAAAGACAAACATAAACAATGGGAGAAAAAACAAGTGTAACATATTCACCAAAATTTAAGAATTTTCTTTTAATTAAAGAAAATAACGACACTGATATATTTTGATAGCAAATAATTTTATAATAGAAAATTAAATACATATATGAACCAAACATTATGGGAAAAAAATTAAATGTTGACGTAGTTAATAATGAGTAAAAAAATCTCGAAAAAGTTCTTTTAATTCCCGCAATAATCAATATTACGAAATAATTAAAAATTCTGAATTAGATGATTACACCCCCAAAAAATGATTTATGATGAAAAATTAGAGAAAAATTAATATAAAACAATTATCGTCACAATCCCTTGGTTAAAGCTCGTCGGCCATTTTATGACTCCCTCGCGCTCTCTAACGGTGACTTGAAGAGTGAGAAAGGTAATGTTTTTTCCCTCAATATCCTTAACTTACTGACAACTTTTCCCATTTATTATTACATTAAACGAAAGAAATAAGATTATACTAGGCTTGTAAAGTCATAAATTTAATTAATATAAGGTAAAAATGACGTAAAAACGGTGATAGATGGGGAGCGTGTGGTGACTGTGGGTAGGTGATGGTGATGCCCCCTACTTTTCACTCGGCAAAGCTGTAAATGTGAGTTTGTCCGTCAGATTGCGTTGTTGTAGCTGTATCTTTTTAGTCTGGGGATTCGACACCAGGTCCTTGAGAGCCATAGATAGGATACATGATGGATGATACAAGCAATGGAGGCTCTGTTTAGGAAGGAGAGAATTAAATGGCTGGAGGAGATAGTTTGTAGGGGAGGACAGAGGAGAGGCGGCCATTGGTATTGTTATTATATTCTGCTATTTTCTCCCTTGTCCATCCCCTCTTCTCGGTGTTATTTTTTAATCACCTTGTTTTATTTTTATTTATATGATTGGTTTATTTTAAATGGTAATATATCGTAGTAAATGAAGGGAAATACGAAAAAATGTGAAGAGTTGTGTTGAGGACGGGTTGTAGACCAGAACAACAGATATTACTTAATATATTAATGATATCGTCTGTTTCTTTTATTTTGTTTATTGTTTATAATTTGCTGACTACAAGAGTAGATAACAATAGTGTGGAGAACATTTATGAATAGTAAGGTAAGTAATTTTGTTTGGGTCCTTTTTTTTGTTGTGTAGGTAAAGTTATAACACTAGAACTTATATTAAAAATCACTTAGTTTTACGTTAATGGTTGCCACTATATTGCTGACGGGAATTTATATAATATTTTGGTCCATGTAAAGGTTATGTACGTCTGTTTATTTCACCTGATGGACCACCCTTATGCTTTATGGGGGCTAGGTTAGAGTTGTCTTGGGGTGGGTTGATATTTAATTGAAATAAGCTGGGGAGACTTAAATCTTCATGTGATCCCCAATATTTATATTTTTACACCTTGTGGTTAGGTTAGGTTTTAGATGCAAATAATGTGTGTTCTTAGGTTAGATTTCAGATACAAATAACTGTGTTATGTTAGGTTGGGTTAGGTTAGATTTTAGGAGCAATAATGCTCTTGAAGTTAAGTAATGGATGTATGTACTGCATGTAGGTTCGGTTTTGGGTGCAATTAACATGAGTTTTTAGGTTTCTCATGTAAATTACACTTGTGGCATCTGCATTGTTGGGTGCAAATACCCACGGCCAAATGGTTTACACAGGTATATACCAATCAGGTAAAATCGTTTCCGTCATCCACCTGTCTGGAACCTAGTTTAACCCATCCTAACCTAACTGGTAAAAATTGATCACAGTACTGCTTCTTAAATGCAACCTAACCTAACCTAACCTAACCTACTAAAATTCACTGGATGACCAAAGCAATAATGATAATAATAACACAAATCATACAATTATTATGAAACCTGATCTGACTTAATCTACCGATATAGTGAATGTGGAAGCTCTCAGAACCATAAACTATACTGTACAGTGGTTTGAGAGAGTTCATAGATGTGTATAGTGAGAGCAAGCAGAAGGGGAAGCTCCCAGACTGCTATACAGGGTTTAATCCCAGGCTCAGGAGTGAGAAGGTTCCTGCTCAGTGTAACTGTATCAAAGATTACCGTTTTTTCAAGTACCGGTAAATTTTCCACTATCTTCGGCTCTAACACTGGTCAATGAAGGTCGTAACAAAGAACAGATTGACCACCTGACTAGTTAGCCAAGCTTGAAAGTGGTGAAAAGAATAGATTGAAAATTAAATTAAATGTCAGCATTAATTTATGGTTTTCAAGGCATCTGCCAATTGAGGAATTCCTTGGGTCCAATTTGAGCCAAAGTGCTGCTTTTGGTCCACAGGCGGGTCATTTAATAAGCTACCTATCTTCCTAATTTATGCAATAGTCATCACAGAAGAAGTGACCGTTGTGGGGGAAGGAGGCTGATGGCTTGTGTAGGATCACCCCATTGTTCTTGACAAGTCTCGTCTAGGGCGTCCCACAGAGAAACTTCTACCGGAATTTAAAATTAGCAGTTAAAGTAATCCTGGAGCAGATGGGTAACACCAGAATGCATTGTTTGACATTGATTTTTTCCACAAATGTTCTTTGGATAATAGTAATAAAAATATGACAATGCATGTAACCTAATAGAATCTGAGCTAACCAACCAAAGAAGCCTACCTAACTTGACCTAACTTCCTCTGGACACCTGTCATATTAAACAGAAAGTAATTTGATATCTGGTACCATTGAAAGCAACTTACTTGAAGTGGCATGGTGTAATTTATTTTTGGGGGCGGGGGGGGCAAACAAAGAACAGACAAATCACGCACTGACAATAGCAGATTTTTTTTAGGAATATTTATGGAAACTAATTCATTTCTATGCTTATAAAGCTTGTAGACATAATTTTTGTGTCGGAGGAAGTTTTTCTCCGTGTTTTACCCCGTCATTTCCTTCATCCCTCAAACTTTCTAACATCCAAAGAACAGCTGTGGAAAAAATGAATGACTATAAATAACTCCTCCTGGTGTTAGCCATCTACTTCAGTATTACCACGGTTAATACTGAAATGTTCGGGTACAGCCGTAATATTTAATGTTTTTTCAATTTTTTCTGGTCACATTAAATACATGTAGTGTCAGACTTAAAAAAATGGCTTGCTTAAAACTTACCTACACCAGCTTATTTTACTTTATGATTAAAAAACTTATGTAACTTAACATCACCTAATGAACCTAACCCCACAAGTAACGTATTAGGATGTTTAATCTTCAGGTGAAATAAGGTTGAATGTTTAATCTTCATCGATCCAAAATAATAATAATAATATAGAACTTCGAATCTTATTAAATATGCATGCAAGTGTCAGTGTGCTACTTTCTGGATCAATTTTTAAAATATATGATGCCTAAGATTACTGCATTAAATTTTGTGAAAGATAACACTTACTGAATCTAACATTGATGTAGAAATACTGTAGATTGTTAGGTTAGTTGATTTATACTCCTTTATAGCACAGACTTTTGAGGTATAGCTTCTGTATTGCTTTTATTTTATTAATGAATGTAATTATGTGTTGCAGGATGGAGGGGAGCCAAGGTGGAGAAACTATAAGTGACATACACAACTACCTCGACACATTTAATAAAGAGATCCAGACGGGGGATCAAGCACCCACAGGTTGGTTGATGATGTACAGTGCTTGTAATTCCTCATAATTGGCTTGTAATAGACTTAATCTTGATACTATACTGTGCCACCCTTTCCACGAGTGATAATGTTCTTCTCTGTTTTCAGCCGATGTAGCTCAAGTTTTTGTAGATGAATCTGGTCAATACTTCTACCAAAATGTTGATGGCAGTCAGCAACAGATGGTAGTGGTGTCGTCTGATGGGACAGATGGCTCAGAGGGGGAAGGTGGTGGTGCCGATGGCTCTGTAATGTTGAATGCAGAGGAAGATTCACTCAATGATGTGAGTCTTTGGAGATACTGTAATGTACCTTTGTTTAGATGGTCATGAGTTTCAGTTCTAAACTTAGGAAATTTGAAATTATGTGTAGTACTGTATTATGTTCAATCAAGTTAAATTGGTTTGGAACTAGAAGCACAGTTGAAAAGTCAAATGGGTTAAAATGAACTCAAAGGTTGGAGGTATAGAACAACAGGAGAAAATTTCTATTATGTTTTGTTGTTCCCAGAAGATTTTAGGCATATTTTGATGATCTTTGAGTCATAAGATACATTCACATCAGAATCGGTGACTAGCCAAGCGGTGTTTATCCTAATCTGTAGTTACAATTTTAATTTAATTTGTAATATGTTTGTGATTTCTTTCATCTGTTTGAATGGAAATTTTTTAGGAGATAATTAACAGCAGGATTTTATATTTTAGGATGGAGACAGTTTATCCCAGGGTCAGGTGGCCCTGGGCGAGGATGGGACACTGCAGGTTATACCCGGTATGGAACAAGGGGAAGGCAATAACCAGGTTGTGCTTAATACAGGTTGGTATCATTCTTTTGTTTTTGTTCTCTAATTCCTGGTGTTTTAAGGCTCATATTTCTTTTGTTTTAGGTTCTTCAGTTGTTGATTTTGGTGTTTATTCCTCTCTTTTTTTCTGTACGAGTTGCTCGAGTTATTACACTATGCACCACTTAATTTTTTTTCTATAAATCTGGTGACTTGAAATTGTTTTGCTCTTTGTATTTCTGATTTCTTTCTTCTTGATTCCTTTTAATTATTTAGTTATTGCCTTTCATCCCAAACTTGAGCTGACAGGTGGTGTTGTTATGTTTGTGTTAACCCCATGTTGAAGGGGTTAGTTTCTACTGGGAGTCAGAGTACTTTATGTAGCCCCCTTTAAGTCATGCCATTGTTTCATCCAATCAATCTTTAATCTGCCATTTAGAAAGTTTGAAGATATGTGTTTTCAACTTAAAACTTGCTGAAACTGAGTGGGCATGTGTTGTTAGATTAGGTTTGAGCTGTGTTCCTCAAGTTTGCAGTATTCTTAAGGGTTTCTATGTGTACTCTTGTTATTTCTACACTCTTCTTAGCCCCAGCCACACTAGGTTAGGTCTTCCCTGGGTCCCTGAGCCTCCCTCCTTTAGTGGACATATAGTACTGATTTGAGTCATTCTATTCTGGCATGGTTATAGAAAGGCAGTTTGGGATCATTTCATTATATCTGTGGAATTATACAGTGAACAGATTTTTGGTAATACTTCCTCTTCCAACAGCCACCCAAAAACAATATGGCAGCTCCTGGAAGAGTGCATTAAGGTATACATTTTTAGTGAGAATTTCTTTATGTAAGGATTTTATAGTTGTTGACAGGTCATAACAGTTTTGGCTCAGTTGTATTACAAATTTTTACTTTTCTTTTGGGTGACTGTCTGAAAAGGAAGTTTTGTAATGTATGTTTTGATATATATGTCCTGTATACTGTACTATGTAGGCATGAGAGTGGTTGGAACTTGAATCACTCCCTCTCATAAGTGTACAGAAATAAAAACAAATGGAAGAAAGAGGTGATTATTTTTGTTTGTTTTTTTCAGGAGATAATAATCAAATAGTAACTATCGTCCCATCATCCACGAACCCGGGTGAAGTGAGTTATGTTTTGATCGTCGAACAGTCTGGTGACAACGACAAAGACGATACTGTATATGATTTCAACGAAGCGGATGAAGGCCTTAGCTATGTGAGTATTTTATTATATCTGTAGTTAGCACCTAGAGCCACTAGTATAGAGGTTGTAAGTAAGGTCATGTGGTATAAATGACGAGTAGGTTTTATGTCAATTTATTCATGTGCAGTTTTAAGTTACTGTCTCTTGCTTTAGTGCTTGGAAACTGATGAGTTCTTAACAATCACCTGTTTAGTGATGGCAGTTCATTCTGATCTTGGAGTTTTAGATAATAATTTATTAGTTTTCAGTGTTTGAACCAGTGGTGTAAGTTTGCAGCTTTTCTTGGGTTCCTGGCCACAGGCAGAGCAGCCTTCTTGTTTGTTGAGAGAGACAAGGATGTCTGCAAAGACCTAAATTAGTTGGTGTCTTGACGAACTGAATGTGTGGTGCTTGGCAGTACAGTACTACAGTACTTTTTTTTATGGGATTCCTTCCTGAGTTGGGTGCTTGTTGTAAAAACATTTGTAGCTTATTTTGGTGCCATCATCCCAATATCTAACCAGCTGGAGATGTAGTATGATGGTAAGAGACCACCGCTTTCAGCTTCCAGGGGTAAACTTTGCATAAAAAGTCTACATGTTCAGGTATGGTACTTGGATGTGACAGAATGAATTAGTTCCAAGCACCAATGTTGAGGTATCCCAGGATTTAAGCTCATAGACTTCGTTAGTCATACATAAATCACCTGATCCATGCTCAGTTATGATACGGGATTTCAGGTTCAGTCCATCATTTTCCCAAGAATTAGGAAAAGATGCTTGACTAATATTTTCCATAGGTTTGACTTTCTTTCTTTAACTCTTCATATTAAAGGTTGACTACTATTCCAGGAATCGGGGGAAGAAGATGACAAGAAGATGATGCGTATTATTCACAAAAAATCACAAACAGTTACTCAAGCCCACATGTGTAACTATTGTAACTACACCAGTCCAAAAAGGTAATATCTGACAACCTGTACTGTTATTTTATTCTTAACCTACTTTTCATTACTTCATATATATTGGGTGAGATTGTTGATAGCTAGGTACTGTGTGTGTGTGTGTTTTTGTTTTGCATATTTTTATTGTATTCATTTCTTTTTGTCTTCTTCAGATACCTACTTTCAAGACACATGAAATCTCACAGTGAAGAGCGGCCGCATAAATGTTCTGTCTGTGAACGAGGGTTCAAAACTTTAGCTTCTCTCCAAAACCACGTTAACACACACACAGGCATCAAACCTCATCGATGCAAGTTTTGTGAAAGCACGTTTACTACATCTGGTATGTTGAATAAGTGCAGTACAGTGTAGTTGTAAGAAGCAAGTTTTACTGAATACACTATGAAAATATGTCGTCTTCTCTAATTTTAGATATCACTTCAATTTTAGGACTCACCTTCTTACTCTAGTGTATTATATTGGGTACTTGTTGGAGTCATAATTTCTTACGATGCAAGATATACATACAGGCAGTGAAGAGGTTGTTAAAAGTCGTAGGGTACAGTAGAAGTCCAAAAATCTGGACTGCTTGGGGATTGGGTCGGTCCGGATTTTCGGATTTTCCGGATTCTCAGGCAGTACTTTTAAAATTAAAATTTAAGGAGTAATAAAGAAGAGATGAACAGGTACATTTTGATAGTTTATTCATTAGCAAATAAAGCATGCTTCATTTATCAAAACGAGCAGTTTTAAAGAAAAATAAAGTCAACACAAGACAAAAATGTAAACAAACTGTCTAATACCATGACGAGTCTTGAAATTCCTAAGCCATCCATCACTAAATGCGCACTCTGATTCAATGTTCACTTGCTCCTTAAAAGACTTTGCTTTGGCAATAAGCATCGGCCCAGAAATTGCCATACCTTCTAATCGTTTTAACAAAAACCATTTGTGCAACACTTTATCAAGATTTTCTAACTTGAGCCAATGTAAATTTTTTCTTTAAGCAATTTTAATGTAGGGCTCAGAAGAAGCTGTGAATTCTAGAATTTTATTTTTTGCCTTTTTTATATCATAAATTGTAGACTTTCTAATGTTGTATGTTTCCATTAGAACAGCATTGCTCACATTACATTCTAGTTTCTTAATTATTTCAAGTTTGTCACTCAATTTCAATGTGTTCTTCTTTCTCTTCACACAACGAAGTTTATCTACTTTAGGGGCCATTATTATGGGCTTGTACTTTGTACATGGAAAGAGTAGGACTCAAAATTACATACGTTGTCACAGTTTGATTGCTTGTTTTAAAGTGGCGATCGTGTGGTCGTTTGTTGTCGCTGTGCAGCTGTGGCGTTCACACATGCACACATACACACAAAAGATTTATAGTGCCTCAAATTTTACATTTCAGTTCAAGCTAATTACAAAACTAACAAAATTAGCTACCTATAATTTACAATTACTTTTATTATTAGAATTATGTAAATTAATTTTTTAAAGCAACTCCATTCATTCACATAACCCACAAAAGCCCGCTAAATTTAAAAAGTTTGAGTTTTCGAAAAGTCCGGATTCTCGGGTGGTCCGGATTCCTGGCATCCGGATTTTTGGACTTTTACTGGAATTAGGTAAGTGCCATTAGAGAATTAATTGGATGATGTTTTCATAAGGGACCTTTGTGTAAAACTAAAGGTGAATTCACTTTTATGTGTAAGTGGTGGAGTAAGTGGAGATGCAAGCTTCACTTGACAATTCTGTGGAGTGTCAGAGAAACTACATTAAAGTGGTGTAGTTGATAATTTATCTTTGTCTATTTTGATTCACTTATTACAAATTAACGATAAGTTTTGGCACTTGTTTGCTCTTGATTGGCTTTATATGAGTTATGGGTAAGAATGGTTAACTTCTGTGGGCTGTTTGTATCTGTTGCATCCTGTGCAAATGTGAATGGAGATGTAGATATTTGGGAATAGAAGGGTTATTGCTTTAATATAATTTGAGAGTTCCGCAACAGATTTTATTTTTAGTTTATCCATTTTACATTTTCTTTTTTCTCTTTTGAAAGGTGAGCTTGTTCGACATGTTCGCTACATACACACCCACGAAAAGCCTCATAAGTGTCCAGACTGTGATTATGCCAGCGTAGAACTTAGCAAATTGAAGCGTCACATGCGTTGTCACTCTGGAGAGCGACCGTATCAGTGCCCACATTGTACTTACGCCAGTCCTGACACCTTCAAGTTGAAGAGACACTTAAGGATTCACACGGGAGAAAAGCCATATGAGTGCGAGATCTGTCGTGCACGTTTTACGCAGTCAAACTCTTTGAAGGCTCACAAATTGATACACACAGGTAGGTAAATAAGGCTTGAAAGTTGTTATCTGCTGTGTATATATTATTGCTCTGATAATTATACCAAAGTTTTTAAATTAAAATAGAGTTACAGTATGTTGATATAGTTTACTTTTATGTTTTCATTGTTTATAATACAGTATTTGTATGTGCAATGTTGTATAATTGTTAAAGCCATCAAGGATATGAGATTCAGTTTTTCATCAGGGTATTCAAAATCTTTTATTTTGTGAGATGCTTCACAAGAGTTATTGAGGTCCACAAAGTTTACTAGACAATTGTAAACACTCAGGATCTAAAATAAACTTTACCAAGTGTGAAATTTAAGAAAAGGATCTTGTCATGCTTAACAGGTGGTACCTTTGACAGGTTTTGGGTGGGTAAAACTATTGCATATCAGTCAGTTTTGAAAGCCCATGAGTTAAGATATTCAAATTTTAGTACTTTTCCTAATATGGCACGTGTGTCCAGATTCCTAATTAAAAAGTTATTTTGTATATCTTTAGAATAATTATTAATTTGTGAGGAATTCGTTAGATTAAATTTTGTCTAATAAATTACAACTGTATAGTAAAACCCCTGTTAATGCTCAGGATACATTCCAAGATAATAGAGCAAGTACTGTACAGGTACAGCAGTGGGGTGAACGTCTCACACCCGTGCTCCATGTGAACAGTCTCATTGAATTCAATTCATTTCTAAACCACACAGAAAAAAAAAACATGCTCATGAGAAGTGGGCCTTACAGTGCAATAGGAGAGCTGTAGCTAGCCCACACGGTTTGAAAGTGTAATTTTTCTCTGTGAATAAGGAGGGCATGTTTTGGTGATATCGAATAGGGGTGTTAAAATGACCATTTCAGGTAAGTGGGGCTGCAAATAGCAAGATATTCCTGGACAGGTATTGCTAAATTAAATAACTGTACTTGTTTTTATGTATTAAGATAATTGACAATGAAAGAGGATTTCTGTGTTTGGATGTTGCATCAGGGAACAAGCCGGTATATGCCTGTGAGCTCTGCCCAACGACGTGTGGCCGCAAGACTGATCTCCGAATACATGTGCAGAAGCTTCATACCTCTGACAAACCTCTGAAGTGCAAGAAATGTGGCAAGGCCTTCCCTGATAGGTAAGTTACTTTTTTGTTGTTTGTTCTTAAAATGATTGGATTTCTCAAATATTTATGCACCCATTGTGTATATTGTGGGACATGTGATGTTTGCTAACAGGGAGTTTTGATATTTAGAGAGGAGTGAAGCAAGAGCTGTTTCAAAGGCAAATATACATTTCAGGTACACATTCAAACAGCACAACAAGTCTCATGAGGGAGAGAAGTGTTTCAAGTGTGACCTGTGTCCTTATGCTTCAACTTCTGCAAGACATCTAGAATCCCACATGCTTGTACACACGGAACAGAAGCCTTACCAGTGTGATCAGTGTGACCAGGTGTGCATGTGCTTGATGGTACAGTTAGTGACTTAATGTTAATTTTGCTTCTCATATGTATTATTATCTTATGTTAATTCCAATATAATCATTGTTAAATTGTTAGGAATGATTAATCATATTATGGAGGCACTGTATGCAATTTAATATTCACTTTTTGTACACAATTATTGAACTTCAAGGAACAAATTTTCTCTCAACAAGGCTTTCCGTCAAAAGCAGTTGCTGAAGAGGCATCAAAATCTTTACCACAACCCAGAATACATCCCCCCCATGCCCAGAGAGAAGACGCAAGAATGTCCAGAGTGTGGGAAGGCATTTAGGCATAAAGGTATGATGTATTAGTTTTATACGTTAATCAAAATATTTTTATTGTTGGAGACAGGTTATGCTAAGTTACTGAAGTGGCAGTGATAAAGCAAATAGTAATCTTGGAGAAGACTTTATTAATTCAGACAGAGAACTTTTTAACCAGCCAGAGTGGATGTGGCTTTCAACTAATAATTGGTGAGCGGGGTACCGGTGGTAGAAGCGGTACTGTTCTTGCCTCGCAAGCGAGATGTCACGGGTTCGATTCCCGGGCCGGTGGAAGTTGTTTGGACTTACTTCCTAGCCCCCATTAGTCCCTGTTCACCTAGCAGTAAAGTAGGTACCTGTTGTAAGTCGAAAGTTGCGAATTCGTATTCAGGGAAAGTTGTTGGAGCTTCCAATAACTTGATGACATAAACGCCTGACTCTTCAGGCTTCTATGCCCTTGACTCTTCAGACTTCTACGCCCTTAACTCGTGAGACATAAAGGCAAGCATGAACTTAAAATGCTTCCCTGTTGGGCACTGTAAACGCTTCTGCGCTTCACCTTACACAAGGATGTAGGGGGGGGGGTGCCCAATAAAAAAAAAAAAAAATTGGTGAGCAGCCAGTTGGGGTTGTTTTCAGTAAAAAATGAATCCAAGCTCGTCCAATACTGTACTTTGTTCAGTATGTATGAAATGGTTTGATATTCTTAATCCAAATAAATTGTCACAATATCAGATTTTGTTTTGTTTTATGAAATAGTTTGGTGGGTTATCATCTTATGTGGGTCCTGCATGCATAGTTATCGCTTATGTGACTGGTTGAAATGTGACCAGAGTTATAGCTCACGCAGAAAGCTGTTGGTAGTGGTATAGCATTAATTGAGTGATCTTTTGCTTACTTGGGTTAATTTGACAAAAAAGGGGCCCCGAGTCACTTGAATTGCCAAAGAATCTGCTGCTCGAGAGATGGTGAGTGTTGTTAGGGAAAACAGGACCAATCAGCTGATACTGCTGGTGAGTGGGAGGCAAGGTCAAGACAGCGTTCCCTCCCCCCCTCCTCCACCACCCCTCACCAGCTATGTTTCCAAATGTAGTATCGTAATATAATTCATTTTGGTAAATCAGCTGAAGTTGATGATATCATTTAAAGGGTTAAGTTACTTTCTATACTTGCCTTAGATACATCACTCTCCCCTTATTGAAGTTTATGTTTCCTTTGATCCACCCCATACAATAATAGGACGGGAGACTAGACTGTAGCCAGATGCTGTACTTGAAATTAGATATAGGAACACTATTCTTTGGGATGACTTCCCTACTTCATTATTTATAAAACACTAAAAGGAAAATCTGATTCTAACATTAATTTTTGTTATTTCTTTCAAGGTAACTTGATTAGACATATGGCCATCCATGATCCTGATGCCTCTGCACAGGAAAAGGCACAAGCACTGAAGATTGGAAGACAAAAAAGATTACAGCTTATTAATGGTCAACAAGTGAGTTGCTTTTAACATCTAATTAATAATGGAATAGATGGGATACGATGTGTGCCACAAGGTTGTGTGAGGCGACGGGTAAAATGGGTGGAAATTTTGGGGCTGGTGTAGAAGAGGAGCAAAAACAATGATACATCAGTGAGACAAACTTACAGTTAGGAAAATGAGAAGGGACCAACATTAGCTTCCAATTCAAATTTGTGATTGCTTCTTCTTTGCAGTGTTAACCACAGAATATATAAAAGAATCAATTAATGATAGGTTAGCATCTTTAACAGCACTTACTATTGAACGTCATAAGAATGTCGATTTGTAATTGTGAGTGTCGTCTCTTTAGTTCGTAACCAAAATTTAACCAATACTCGATTTTTTTATGCTTGCTATGTTGTTTTAGTTTTATTGTACTATCAGTGTTTGTTGATTTTTTGTTTCATCATTATTCCATACAATAATATGTTTATTCGGTACCTTCATCAAACACTGTTGGGGAGTCACCCTTAACAAAATTCAATAATCCTACTGATTTTAAGATTAAAAAGCAAAATTTCTGTGGGTACAGTCTATTAAATGCCACTTGTTCTTTTTATATTATACATGTTAAGTACAGTATATAAAACCTTGTATTGTCTAGGTTGAGATGTACACCGGAGACGTTGATGAAGATGAGATTATGGCTGTGGAGGGTCAGGATGGTAACCAGTATGTGGTCCTTGAGGTCATACAGCTTCAGGTAAGATTAGATGTAATTGTCCTTTTGTCCATTTAAAAAAAAATCTTTAGCCTGACTATAAATATCTCACATTTTTATCAATAAATTCTCTTAATGCCTAAATTTATACCCACGTGCTTTTCAGGATGGCGAAAGTCACATGATGATGTCAGATGGGATACCAGTAACGGACGGTACTCTAGAAACGGCAGTAGGCGGAGTTTTAGGGTCCTCACCTCTTATGGTTCCGGAGACTATAACGGGTGATACAATTACTGGAGATACCATAGGTGGGTGTGACGTGGTGGATACCTAATAATACTTAGTGTCCTGTAAAAACTGATTTGGTCTATAGATTGGAGAGGTTCTTTTTAATGCAGGTTCGTTATGTTTATCTATAACAATCTTTCTTAAAACGTGAGGATTAATATAAATTGAAGGCTTATAGAAATTGCTTTAGGTAGTTGGGTTTTCCTGGTTTGGCCCTTATTTATGCATCAGTGTGCATTTGATTTACAGAATTGTGTTTCATGTGTCCATTAGTCCACCTCATAAAATTGGAAGAGAAATAAACAAGTAGATGGATAGATATTCAATCATGTTCTTGTGAATCCCTTCAAGTACTGTAAATGATTAAATTTTTTCTCATTTTAGTTGTTATCTTTCTAGTGACTTTATACCAAACTTCCCCACCTTGCAGGCCCAGTAGATGGAGCCTGTTTAGTATCAGAATCTTCCCTCCTGGAACTCCAGCACAAGAAAACGGAAATGAAAACAGAAATTAGTGCCGAGGCCAAGAAGGAGGCTCAGAAAGAAATGGAAACCTGCTTTGGTTTTGATGTGAGTTAATATTAATATTTTTTCTGCTTGTATGGTAAATTAATGCGAGTGAGATATTATGTGAAACCATAAAACATCTTTTAAGTGAAATTAAATGTGTTGACATGCACTGAGATTTCTCTTTGAATGGTATCAGTACAGTTACCGGTACTGTAGTCGTTTTAGCTTCTCAACATGCTGTGATAGTCATAACCAAGGTGCCCTCTAATTTTTTACATCGTATTGTGGAATATATATGAACCAAAAAGCTATACTGTACAGGTAGTCCCTGAGTTACAAATGGGTTACGTTCTTGGAGCCTGTTCGTAAGTCAGAACAGTATTAATTCCATATGTAGAGTGAGTTTCAAACACAACCCTGCCTAACCTAACGTGTAGCAAAATTTAGCTTTCTGGTTTTTTACGCATTGTGAATATAATATAGATTAACTTTATAATTTATATATGTTAGTTTTCACATTCCAGAAAAAAAGGTAGTTTTTTACCAAAAGCTCATACAGTATAAATTTTCGAAATTTTATCTTCATCTGAGTGCAGTTAGGTAAATACTTTACTTTCATATTTCAATTCTGGAAACTGTAAAATAGGAACTAAAATTGTTTTTGAAAGTGTGTTATATACTGTATATCTTTACTTTATAGGATGAGGATGAAGGACAAATTCACCTTCAGTTTGGAGAATGAAGAAGAGACAACTATGGAGTTAATGTTAAATATATACATAAAATGTGTATGTCCAGATGAGATTTCTCTTTGAAGTCATATGCTAATTTTGTGACATTTGTGCTGTGATTTAATTTTTTTAAACCTTCTTCATTTTGTTGACATGACAGGCAGAATCAAAGTCTGCTTCAGCTTTAGAGAAAGGATTTGTCTTAATGGTGTGACTAGGTAGCTTAACACCAGCCATGGTCAACCCACTTCCTGCCTGCCACTGGAGGAACACGGCTGGTGTCTCTCTCCCACCTTTCCTGGTTTCAGATTCTCAAAGACTTATTAATTAAATTTCTTCCACTGTAACTGTGTATGTGAGAACCCATCTAGCAACAGTGCAGTTTTAGTGCAATTTTGGTCAGGCAGGTGCATTCTCAGATGGCCAGTTCAGGGTTAAGTTTTAATAAATGAACCTTTGACAACTTAAATCTTGAACTGTAGTCACTCTTACAGATTCCCTAGTAGTCTGCATCATAAGTGAAACCAAATGGATTTATGCTTCTGTGAATTATAAGTTTGCCTCTGTGAGGCATTGTACGGTGTTAACTGAAGGTAGGCTGTATAACCTATTGCTGTGACCAAAGCTCCATGATGATGTGGGTCTGGTCCACAGTTTGCACATCTTACCACTTCTTGTTGTTTCATTTGTAAATATCTTAAAATATTTAAATAATTAAATTTTTTCTTCATCCTGAAATTTTGTCAACTGTACTTTGTACATTTCTATTTTTGTATACATACATTATACAGTACAGAAAGGTCAAGAATAGTAATGGTGCCTGTACAAAGATTTAATGAAAGTACAGTAAGAAGCTGCTCGTTCTGCGGCAGACTGAAGCTCAACGTTGTGTACGGATGTCTGAAGGTTGTTGCTGTTGCATATACCACTGGTAAGCACCTACAGGAGAGCCTCTGATAACGACAGTTCTACTAACGACGATTCATATTAAAGACCCTGGTTAATTTAGGACCCAATTCAATTTACACTGTTATTTCCTTCTTATTTACGACGAAAATAGTATAAAAAATAAAGTAAAATCACATTTTCATATAAATAATAACTAAATCCCGATATGTATTTAAAAAAAATGCCTTGCGCACAGAGGCTGCAGGGTTGCCACATTGGGCGAAAAGTAGCGGATTGGGCTACTATTTTTGGGTGTCTGCTACTAAAATTAGAGATCTGCTACTTGCTACTTTTTGGGCTACCTACTTCAAATTATATTTGCACTTATTTTCACATGATTGGGCTACTTCCATTTTGTACTCTTATAATACTAACAATACAAGATAAAGATGAATTATATGTAATATATTCGTAAGTGACAATGAAATATTAGTTAAATACGCAGGTGAAAGTTGGCAACTACCTTCATTTAACATTTTTGAAGCCAGTATTGAGTAATTTTGAAAGGATGAATTTGCTATCAAAAGGAAGAAGCTGATCACTAAAGTCTTCTCACTGAACTGGAAAATTTTGCAGTTTCAATGCAAAGAAGAATCCCATACCCTGGCAGTGTAAAGCTTAGAGTTGACATGAGCTATAATTAAATTTTCCTTCCCCTTGATAAAGTTGACTTTGGTTATGAATTTTCTACCCTTTTGGCTTGCTTAATATTCAATCTAGATGCCATAAATTCCTTACCAGAGCATGTAAAGAACTTCTTGCTCACCTACCTGAAAATGTTGAAGCATTAAAGAAAGTAAAGAACCTGTCACCAAATATTTGTCTAAGTCACACACATCCTCCATTCTCAGAGCTCCCACTAGAACTTGCTGATGAGTCTTAAGATAACTGAAATTGAGTCAGTGGAGTCAAGCCTTAACTATTGATTAGGATCAGACTTTTTTAAGGAAATATACCAACTACTGGATTACTATTATGGACGAAAGCAATCACAGTAAAAAATGCTGCGGGAGAGTTTGTGTTAAAAGAGCTTGCAGAATTTGCAGTAAAAGTTTACAGTCAACCCTCGCTTTACGGGGTCCCACTTTACGCATTTCCACGTTTACGCGGTACCCTGCCGAACACGGAATGCTCACTTTCCACTGTGTGTGTACCCCTTTATGCGGAGAGCGGCTGGCGGTCCTCTCGCGCCACGCCATTTTTGGATCCAAACCTCCCGCCCTCTCCCGCCATCCGCCATGTTGTGTAAGCGGCGCGAGTAGGTTGCGCAGTGTATGTTTTTGTTGCGTTATCGGTGACGTCATATGACGTAGCGGACTGTGATTGGGCAAAGCATCCTTACCTCCCTCCCCGCTAGCTGTGATTGGTTTAATGTACTATGACGTGCCCCGCCGCGGGAGCGTTCAAGCCCCTTGACCTACCCGCGTCAGTTACACCCCTCCCGGCTACACCGTGTATATCGGTATCCATTGTTCCATAAGAATGGCTTCCACCGGACCACCACCACCACCACCACAAAGAAACCTTGCATTACCTGGACCCAGCCGCCCTAAGCCAAAGAAGACACGACTTTCCTTAAGCTACGAAATCAAATATAAGATCATACAAGAGTTGGAGAAAGGAACAAGACAGGTTGATCTCGCACGCCAGCATGGTGTTAACGAATCAACTATCAGGACAATTAAGAAGGATGCAGCCAAGATAAAGGAGCCCATGAACATCACAAAGTCTACAGGTGCTTCTATGATCAAGTATTTCCACAACCAGGTGCTTCTCAAGACGGAAAAATTACTTGTCAGCTACTTGGTGCGTCAGGCGCGACGGAACATGGCGGTGGACACGCGCTCCGTTAAGGAGTACGCACGTGAACTGTATGCTGCTGTGTCACGAAAGATGGAAATTACAGAGCCCAAACCCTTTAATGCTTCCTCTGGGTGGTTACAGAGGTTTAAGAAGAGGAACAAGATCACCAATATCAACATTGGTGGTGAAGAAGCTAGTGTTGACCGTGTTGCGGCTAGGGAATTTCCTCCATTTTTACGTGAGTTTATGGAGGAAGGACAGTACACCGACGACCAGGTGTTTAACATGGACGAATCTGGTCTTTTTTGGAAAAAGCTACCTTCCAAGACCTTTGTTGTGAAGAATGCCAGCAAGTGTCGGGGCCGGAAGTTGCAGAAGGAGTGCATCACCGTCCTGTTTACCACCAATGCCTCCGGTTCCTGTAAGCTCAAGTTATCGGTGATCCACACAACACGCAAGCCGCACGCCTACAAGAGCATGGACATGACCAAGCTAAATGTCCACTGGCTGACCGCACGTAAGGCGTGGATGTTCTCTACACTGTCCGTCTCCTGGTTTGATGACTGTTTTGTTCCCGATGTGAAGAAATTCTGTGAGCAACAGAATGTGCCAATCAAGATTTTGTTGCTGCTTGACAACGCACCAGGAAACTCGCCCCTACTGTTAGATCGTCACCCCAACATAAAAGTGGTCTTCCTTCCTCCCAACACTACGTCTATAATACAGCCCATGGACCAAGAATTGATCTGTAATGTAAAAGCTGCATTCTCTGCTAAAAAATTCAAGCTCCTGAATGACTACACCAACACCAAGGAAGAGTTGTGTAACTTGAGTGACACCAACACCGATAGCAAGAGCAAAGATGACGAGGATCAACAGTTGGCAGAGCAAGAAGTACTTTTGAAACAATTCTGGAGAACATTCAACGTCAAGAAAGCTGTGGACTTCTTGGTGGAGGCATGGGATCAGCTGTCTGTAGCAACTGTTCGTCACGCATGGAGACATGTGTTGCAAGGCATTCCGGGTATTAGGCAGAGTAAATCTGTGACTGGTGAGGTTCAGACTGTTGCAGTAGCAGTGGACCTTGCCAGAGAAGCTGCGCAGAGTGTTACAGCTGCAGGCTTCTCCGAGACCACCAACGACGACATCCTGGAGGTGATAAGGGATCCCAATGTGACTACCGACGAGATGGTAGATGATGATGACGTCAGTGAAGAGGCAGGTGGTGCGTCATCCCAAGAAGAACGCCGCTTATCCCATAGTAATGTAAGGGGTGCCATCGAGTGTATTGAGAAAGTCAAGCTCCTCCTTTCCGACGACCCTAACGCTAACAGGTATGAAATCTTCACTACCCAGCTGTTGCAGACTATGGAGCCCTACATCAAGGTTTATCACGACAACATAAACACCAGCCGTCAGCAAAGCATAACAGAGTTCTTCGCCCGCAACCCACCACAGCCAGCCCAAGCCAGTGATAGTGACAGGTAGAGACAGTGAAGATGACTTTGAGGGATTTGTCAGGGAGGCACTAGTAAGTGTGGATAACACCGATGAAGACTCACCTGAGGGCCCTCTGCCTCGGAACCAGCCTCCATTCCCCTACGCCGACCCATCTCTCCTACTAACGTAAGTGTTAACCCCAACCTTGTTTTTTTCTAACCTAACCTTCAGTTTATTATTCTCTTATTGATTGTTCCCTTCTATATTATGTGTGTGTGAATACCATCATAAAGTTAAGATGTTATATTTAGTAAAACGTACGTATTGTGTCGGGAAAAAGTGGAGTTTGGGGGTCGGCCCGGTCTCTATTCTCAATTAATCCCATATGTTATGTTGTTCACTTTACGCGTTTCTCACTTTACGCGGGCTGCCGTGGGTTCAATTAACCGCGTAAAGTGAGGGTTCACTGTACAGCTAGTTTACAGCTAGCTGAACAAGTATTTTCAAGTTACATCAGTTAAAACTAGATTGAGGAACAGAATGGGGCTATAGCTCTTAACAACAATAAAAATAAAAACAAGTCTTGAATTAAATGGAACTTGCTGTTCGTCAATTGATCCTCCAATGTCCATACTCAACTATGACTCATCAATCTATAGAGATGAGGAAGTAGATGCAGAAGAGGAAGACTTACTGAACAGTGTAGATCTATAAAGTAGAAATTTCAATCTGCCTAAAAGTGATGTGTGTGTTTACAGAAGATTTATATTTGTGTTAATTTAAGTAAGATGAATAAGAAGAAAAGTTCAATTTAATTTAATTAAAACAAGTAACAAGAAGAAAAGTTCAATTTAATTAAAACATGACACAAGAAGAATCATGTTAATCTAATTAAAACAAGACAAAAAGAAAGTCATGTTAATTTAATTGAAACGAGGCGAGAAAAAAGCTCTCTAGTTTACATTTACAGGTAGGGGGCGCTGGTGGTAGAGCGGTACCGCTCTTTCCTCGCAAGCAAGATGTCACTGGTTCGATTCCCGGGCTGGTGGAAGTTGTTTGGACACTCTTCCTTGGTCCCTGTTCACCTAGCAGCAAAGTAGGTACCTGCTGTAAATCGAAAGTTGCGAATTCGTATTCAGGGACAAGTTGTTGGAGCTTCCAATAACTTGCTTTAGACATAAAGCATTGACTGCTCAGGCTTCTATGCCCTTGACTCTTCAGGCTTCTACACCCTTAACTCATGAGACATAAGGCAAGCATGAATTTAGCATGCTTCCGCTACTTTTAAGGTCTGTTTCCGCTACTTTTGATCACAAGTATCTGGCAACACGGCTTGTGAGTGGTGACGCCAGCATCGCTAATATAAAGTCACAACTTGGCGGGCCTTTTGTTTTCACGCATCTGAACAGGAAAAGAAGAAAAACATTCAGGTATCTTACGTCATTTTTGCGTCCCTATTCAACGAGAGCATGTGATGGTCGTGCTGGTTCAAAAGTTAAAATAAAGTCTATAAGCTTAGCCGA